ACAAAATCTCAGTGGATTAACATAACAGGATTTATTTCTCATTTGCTCAGAATCTAATGTGGATATTACTGTTTGGGTGGCTCTCCCTCAAACAGTGACTCAGGGATCCATATCCTTTTTTTAAAAAAAAACCAACAATGATAATGAATTTAATTTAATCTAAACTACAGTCCATTGTAACACACACATATATATGTGTGTGTGTGTGTGTGTGTGTGTATATACACATTTTTTTATTTTTTAATCCTCACCCGAGGATATTTTTCCATTTTTGTTCAGATAGAGTGGGAGGGAGAGAAAGGAAGAGAGAGAGAGAGAGAGAGAGAGAAACATCGACGTGAAAGGGACACATCGAGTGGCTGCCTCTCGCACGGCTCTGACCCAACCATAGCCAGGGACAAACTGCAACCGAGATATGTGCCCTTAGTGGAAACCGAACCCAGGTCTCTCTGGACCACAGGCCAACGCTCTAACCACTGAGCCAAACCGGCCAGGGCCACACACTATATTTTATGTAACAAAAGAAAGAAAAAAAAATCTTCCGATTTCAGAGATGTCCAAATGGGGAAAAAATGTATCTCAAAATGAGTAACATAGGATATTAGTAATAAAAAGCTTTCTACGACTTCCAGTGGGCAGGTGCTGCTCTGAGCACTTAAAGTGTCTTCATGTATTTAATAATCACAGCAATGTACAAGATAGAATCTGTTCTCGGCCCATTTTACAGATATGGACACCGAGACACAGACAGGCAGAACTAGAATTTGAACCCAGGCAGACGGGCTTCAGAGTCCATGCTCTCAGCAGCTCTATAAGAACGAAATTAGGAGACTGCTGATTACAGATCTGTCCCATTGTCTGGGGTCCTGCTGAGCCCGCGGTCCATCCGGGAAAGCTCAATGGCTGTGAGTCAGCTTGGCTGCAAGTCGGGATTCGTTTTCTTCCACCTAATGTCTCTGCTGCCCCCTCGCCCTCCTCGGGGGCCTCTGCTGGGTCACCTGTGTTTAGATGGCCAAAGAGAGGGGAGAGGATTGTGTGAGATGCTTCAGGAGTCGGGCCTGAAAGTGGCACGCATCATTTTGGTTCATCCTGGACTCCGGGGAACTGGGAAGTGCGGGTGAGCTTTCCACCCAGGAGGAAAGGTAAGTTTGGCGGAGCACAGCAATAGCTCTGCCGCGTCCGCACCCCGGCTTACAGAACCTGAAAGTATCATTCCTGAGAGATCGCACTGTGGCCCATCAGCATCAGGATCACCCGAGTGACTTGTTACAATGCAGATTCTGGGGCCCCCGCCTGCTAAGTCAGAACCTCAGTAAGTGGGTTCTAAGAAATTGCATTTTTACCAAATCCCCCCGATTATTATTACACTAAGGTTATTTAGAAAGACACTTTACCCAGTTGTTCAAGCCTTTTATTTTACAGGTAGCAAAGTTGAGGTCCAGAAAAGTGGTATGACCTCCATGTCATCTCCCAGGAGTCATTGTCATAGCAGGCCAGGACCTCGTGAGGGTGTGCCCTGGGAGAGCACGCTTCCCGAGTTGTTCCTCTGGCCCCCAGCTTACCAACCACACACACTTGTTCTGTAACATCAAACGGGGGAATTCAGCCCAACACTAAAGAACCGTGATCGTTTTGAAATGGCTCATCCAGGGCAGTTAGTTTGTAGCCGAGTCTCCTGCAATGTAGGTTATGACCAGACGCGGTCCGGAATCAAGGCCTGCTATGACTTGCACATTCCTGGCAAGAGCTGGGAACCCCGAATAGTGTTTTATTTGAGACTGGAATCCTGTGATACTTTCTCATGTCACTCTGAAGGCCCACTTTGTTTTTAAAGCTGTAATGCGTCCTAATTACATTGTGTTAGGGATCACTTTTAGGGGAGGCATGGGTGGGAGGGGAAGGAACGGAGGAGAGGGAACCTCGCATTCTGTAGCTCTCTTGGAGAAAGCAGCCAATGCTTATTAGCATTCATTTCCCATAATTTCCATGATAACGCTATAATTTAAAACACTGACTCAAAAGCCTAATAAAGGAGGTTAGGCTGACTTTCTAAATTTGCCGCACAGATTGCTCATCTCTCCATCAATCTTCTTTCTCTTAAACAAAATGTAAAATTTGGAACCAAGAGTGAAAGCACCAAGGTTAGGCTGATCCCCCTTGTTAACACCCGGCTCTTCGGCAGCAACGCTGGAAGCATTTCAGTCTGGTTTGAGCATGTATGTAAGAGCGGATGTGAAAAACCTTCCATCTCTGTCTACCTTCTGAAATTTGGGGTGGGGGGGTGCTAAACAGGGGTAAATTGTCAAATGATGCTTGTCATGATCGCAAACTTGGGCTGAAATCACTTACATTCATTTACTTTCATTAATGACTAAAGATTTTTTCTAAGTAGAGCTTCATGGCTGAGACGTCTGCCTTCCTTATCAGCGTAAAGGAGGATGCGAATGTACGTGGGGCCTTGGGAGCAGCGGAAACTTAGGGGTGGGTCCAGGCCCAGTGAGATGGGGGATCCCCTAACCCGACAAGAGACGGTGTGGACCCGTCGTGAGCAGCAGGAGAGCTGAACAGGCCCTGCGAGCAGGGTAGACGGAGAAGCCAGAGGTGACCTGTGCCTCCTTCCTCGTTCCTCTCCAGGCACTGCCAGTCCCCGGGCTGGTCCCTCCCTTGGGGCTCCAGGCTGGTTCCCGCTTCTCGCTTCTGTAGTCAGGAAGCACCGTGGGAGTTGAGCTGTTTGGCACAAGAAGGTTGAATGGAGGGGCGTGAGGGGGCCACACCAGCCAAAAAAGAGGAGCGAAGGCCTGGCCTGGGGCAGCCGTGGGGTTCCTAGGAAGGACTGGGCCTCCACGCTGCACTGAGCTGTCTGGGTGCTCTAAGATTCCCCCCAAGTCCAAGCAGCCCCACCCCAGCTGTTTCTCCGTGAGCAAGGTGGGCTGAGGGAGGAGAAGCTGGGGCTGGGCACCATCACAGAAGTCCTCCCGGGTGCCTCTGTGTGGCCACATCAGTGGACCGGAGTGGGGAGAGGGAAGAAGCTGGACGGGCCTCCCCCGCAGGAGCGGGCGGAGGAGGGGCGAGGCTTCCACAGGATGGGTGCTTTCCTTCCTTTTTAAGGGCCCCAGCTCCGCCCAGGGCCTCAGCCTCCTGCCACACCTGCCTGCCAGTTGCTTTGTGTATGTTTATTATCTTCAATCCTTAAAACCCTGACACTAATAGGTCCTGTTATTCCTGCTTGCTGAGAAATCGAGGCTCAGAGAGAAGGAGTAACCTGGCTGCAGAAGGAAGATTTGAGCTGGGTGACGAGGGCCAGACCCCGCGTGCTCTGTGATGTAGTGCACACCCTAAGGGGTGGCCACAGCACTGGAGAGCACACAGGCGAACAGATGGTGCAGCACCTTCCCCAGCCGTGGTCTGGTGACAGTTCCCATTTTCCTCCTGTGTGCTCCCTGTAGTTGAAGGAGTCCCTTCGTCATTGTTGGTTGTAAGAGGAATAAGAACGCAGACAAGTCAAAAGCGGAGGGTTCCCGGAGCCAGCGTGGGACACGGCGTTGTGGAGATGAGAGGGAGGCCAGGCTGCGAGGCTGCAGACAGGAGGGCCACCACCTGGCCGATGTCGCCAGCTGCTGGCCACACCACCTAGGTCAGGGGCGGGGGGCTCCTGGCCTTCCTGGCTGGTCTGGTTCTGTGACACATCACGGATCTGCCAGAGCCCTCTGCTTGGCTCCCAGGGCTGGGGGAATCACCACACCCTCTGGATAAACATCTCAAAGTTAAATATGCACAGGCAGGTAATCCAGACTTTGAGAAAGGGTCCTGGATATTTTTTGTGCTAAGATCATCTGGGGTGCTGGTGTGAAGGGCCGAGAGTTTCCTGGTCCCCGCTCTTAGGAATTCCCAGGTGGCCTTTCAGAAGTGAGGTTCAGAATCTGCATTGTCAAAACACCCCAAGCAATTCTGATCCCATGGACCCGGGGCAGGCTGAGAAAGACACTGACTAGGAGGGGAAAGGGAGAAACCTGAAACTTTCTTTTAGAAAACAGCTTTTTGTCATTATTGTTTAGTTCGTGAGCACCAGTTGTAGATGTAGGTATAATGTTTATGAAGCTGTCTTGACGCAAGAAAGATAATGAACACGGTGGTTATGTGCACAATTGCGGCTAATTATTATGTTGTGAATGTGTGGTTAAATGATAAACATTAACTTATAAAAACTCTTATTAAAAGTTCTCTGTTATTTGCCATTAATCAGGGAGTTTGTTCATTTATCCACTTGATAAAAAAGTTTTGAGCTCTTGCTGTGTGGCCAGAAATGTTCAAGGAAGTGGCGGACAGTTGGGGCCAGCAGCTGGGGCTGACCTCTTCCCTGAGGGACTTAGAGTCCGGCCAGGGAGAGTGATTAAGTAAGTCCCCCAAAACCACGTACATTTCAACTTTGTGTACGTTTATTCTTATTAGTTAGGGTGTTTGTTATATGTACTACTAAATATGAGTTTTTATAAATATATAGGGATTTGCATATAAACAAATACAATAGAAAAAATCGTTGTCAGGCTATATATTGTGGTTTGGGGTTTTTAAAAATTGATTAACATACAGAATACGAACTTTCCACTCTCTGATTGAGCTAGGAAGATGTGTTTTTAATAAATTCTGCACAAAGGTGGCCTGTAGTTTTGTTTCTTAGTGAGTTACGACTTCGCTTCCAAATGGGTTTAATTAGAACGTCTTAAGGATACATTGATTCTCTCCCTTTCACGTGTCTGCCTGCTCCCCTTATTTGTGAACATAGCACCGTTAGGAAAATGATTCTCCAGTGCTTTGGAGCACAATGTACCTGAATGCAGATTTCTCATCCAGGATGAGAAGCACGGAGAATTCGGATTCCGTGCTCAGCACATCCTTATGCTGTTCTCTGGCCTGAGATTTGTGTGTGCCCGTCATCTGTGAGAGAACAGCTCAGTGTGAAACAGAATTGTCATCAGTAACCTCCGCTTCTTGGTTTCCAGGGTTGCAGGTGGCGAGCTGTTTGACTTCTTAGCCGAAAAGGAATCGTTGACTGAAGAGGAAGCGACCGAATTTCTCAAACAAATTCTTAATGGTGTTTACTACCTGCACTCCCTTCAGATTGCCCACTTTGATCTTAAGGTATGTTGCTGAGTGCTAGCCGATAGAAGCTAATGGAAACCACAGCTGTGGTTGTTTGTTTGCTAAGAAACTTGAGGCATTTGAAAGAGATACTTGTGTCATTCCTGTGTGGGTATAACATATGGGATTATCAGTGTAAATCAGCAAGTGTCTAATGCGTGCCTCCTACAGAGACTCCTAACTCTTTTGTGGAATAGAGGCTTAAGATTAGTGATTACATTCAAGAATCTTTGGGAAAGAATCAGGGGTCTTATAAGCCAGGTCTTTAAGCAAAGCAACTGCTGCCACCAATGGGACATTTTCAGCCTGGAGTGCCCACTGGCTTCCCAGTGTCCACCCCTCTGGGCAGCAGGCACGTAAGATGGAAGGTACCTTGCTCTCTACTCTTCCTCTTGATGCAACGGTTTATGGGCCTGGCTCTGTCACCGGTAATCAATCAAGCCAAACTCTGAGACTGGCTAAGTGGGGTCATGGCTAGAGGCAGGGCATTATGGGAGCTAATGTCATACTCCCACTGTCAGAGGTTGTGGTCTCTCTGGAAAGGTAAGACACCCTTGAGCGACAGGAAGTGCCCGTGTCAGTGTTAAGATTCAGGGTGCAGTCCAAGGCAGCGAAAAGACTGTCACAGAGCAGCGTGTGATCGATTGCCAGGCGAATGAGTCCAGTCATTGGAGCTAGGATAGGACTTCCGAGGAGGAAGGCTTTTCTTCATACTGATTGTAGTAAAGCTATTAAGACCTACCAGGGTCCCCCCAACACTCACTGATACACACCCCAGAGACGGCTGTTGCAGTCACCATGGCTCTGCCTGACGTCTGGTTTCCGGCCCGAGAGCTGGAAATGCAGTTTTCAGCAGTGGAGGATGGGGAGGTGGTTGAGAAACTCCCTAATTCCCTCCCGCTTTGTTTGGACAACTCTGAGTGCTTTTCTTCTCTCCAAGTTCCTCAGGGGATTACACTCCCGTCACCCCCACCTGGAGAAGACGCCTTGTATCAGCGTCCTCCCGTGTCCTGTCTCCCCATCTCTCTACCAAGCGGCTCCCACATGAGCCACTTGCACCCTAGTGTCACCGGTCTCCACCTGGGAGAACCTAAACCTAAACATTCTCCGGGTGTCCTCTTGCATGTACCCTCTATGCCTTTGTTCAGTTGTTTCTTTCCGGGGAGAGGAAGAACCATTCAGCTACCTTCAACAGAGCAGAGCAGAGCAGCTATTTTTTATTGTGGTAAAATAAAAATAACATAATTTATACCATTCTAACCATTTTTAGGTATGCCGTCCAGTGGCATTAGTATATTTACCTTGTGAACATACTATCCGTTTCTAAAACGTATTATTGTCCCACACTGAAACTGTGTGTCCATTAAACGGGAGCTCTGCATCTTTCCCCCACCCCACCAACCCCATCTTCTCGGATCCACCATTCTGCTCTCTGTCTCCATGAATTTGCTCATTCCTCATGTAACTTAGCATAATGTCTAAGGTTCCTCCATGTTGTAGCACATGTTAGAATTTACTTCCTTTCTAAAGCTGAGTAATACTCCATTATATGTATGTGCCATTATTTTATCCATTCCTCTGTTTATAGGCATTGGGCTCTTTTCCATCTTTTGGTTATGAATATTGCTGCACTATTTCTCTCTCTTCTTCTTTTTTAGCCTGAAAACATAATGCTTTTGGATAGAAATGTTCCCAAACCTCGGATCAAGATCATCGACTTTGGGTTGGCCCATAAAATTGACTTTGGAAACGAATTCAAAAACATATTTGGGACTCCAGAATTTGTTGGTAAGTTTCTTTGCTCCTCTGGTTATTTATTTCTCAAAATCACTATGTTGGCAAAATTTCCCCTGCTGTAACTTCATTTCCCTGGTACATGTTTCTGGTTTATATACCACCTGTCGGTTCGCTTCCTTCCAACACTAAATGTGCATTTATTTCCTCTTAGCTCCTGAGATAGTCAACTATGAACCTCTTGGGCTCGAGGCAGATATGTGGTAAGTATCATGCCCTTGATGTTGTCATCTTTCTGATGTAATGTATCCTTCTTCTGACGTTTGTTTTGTTTCTGTTTGATGTCTAGGAGTATTGGGGTAATCACCTACATTCTGTAAGTACCAGAATCCACAACTCACATTCTTTCCCTCTTTCTTTGAGACCGTATGTTTTATTAATCAGTCATGTTGATCTCTTCCGCTTATGCATGCTTTTTATGTAAACATTCATTTTACACCCCCAGAACACGTTCAGTTTATACTAACTAAACATTTTTTCTCCGAATTCAAAAATGAGTCATCAGAAACTGCAGCATAATCACTGGAAGAAAGCATGTCTGTTCATCACTGAGGAAATAAGAAAGGGTTGTTTTTTTAAACTACTAGATGCTGTTCCAAATTGACTTTTTTTTTTTTTTAATCCTCACCCGAGGACATTTTTCAGCATTTTGTTGAGATAGAGTGGGAGGAAGAGACAGAGAGAGAAACATCGATGTGAAAGGGACACATCGAGTGGCTGCCACCCACACGACCCAACAGGGCTGGGGACAAACTGCAACCGAGGTACGCGCCCTTAGCGGGAACCGAACCCGGGTCTCTCAGGACCGCAGGCCGACGCTCTAACCGCTGAGCCAAACCGGCCAGGGCCAAATTGACTTTTTAAATGCATTCCTTGCCTTAAGCTGAAGCTTTTGTGTATGACAGTTAAGTGGAATTCTGAAGCGATTGCCCAAACACCAGATTATAATCTTATTCCTCACTCCCCCATCAGGTATTATGGGGAGGAAATGACGACACAAGCAGTAATTGTACGTGTTCTGTGCCCCACTTTATTAACAGCCTAAGTGGGGCTTCGCCATTTCTCGGAGACACTAAGCAAGAAACGTTAGCAAATGTGTCCGCTGTCAACTACGAATTTGAGGAAGAATACTTCAGTAATACCAGTGCCCTCGCCAAAGACTTCATAAGAAGACTGCTCGTCAAGGATCCAAAGTGAGTGTCCATCGTTCCTGAAAGGTGCTCCGCTGTGGCCTCAGCTCAACGAGGGTTACCCTGGCCTGTGCGCATGGCCACGTTTATGAGACCCAGGTGTTTGCTCCTGGCAAAGGGAAGCATGCCTCGTGACGTGCCTCACAAAACGCGGGCAGGGTCCTTTGTGCCTGCTCAGTCGGTCCTGCAGGCACGGTGAAATAATCACACGAAGACCGATGTACTTTGCAGCTTTCTTCCATGAAGCAGGCCCCAAACTGCATTTTCTAGAACATCTGTGTTGTTGGCCCAGCCGGCATGGAAACAACCTCAGTGTTTGCTTCTATGATCACAGCTTTTTTTTTTTCTTTCTTTCTTTTCTCTCTCCCCACAAAGGAAGAGAATGACAATTCAAGATAGTTTACAGCATCCCTGGATCAAGGTAGGTTGCATATTGTGATTGGTTTGGGTACTAAAGGGCATCTTGAAATGCATGTGTTCTAGGGTATTACTCGTTACTGTGGGTTCTAACCACAGGGCACATCTGGGTATTGTGTTTGCTGTTGGTGCCATATTTTAGCACAACTAGCAGATGAGAGTATGCTGATGATAACGGAGCTGGAGAGGAGAAAGCTATCACCATACAGGATTGTAAACAGGGAGCTGAAGGTCAATAGTCATATTTGGTTTGACCTGTGGGATGTTGGCCCAAACAATACTTTTAATTTTTTTTTAAATTAATTTCCAACATTTAAATATAATATCAAATCTGGAATTCAAACTTCTCTTGAAAAATTTAAAGATCTACCAAAACTGAGCCCTCATTCCACGAGGCCACCAGAAACTTGGCATAGCTGCCTTTGTGCCAGGGCTGTGGCCGCCCCCTTGCATATTACACCTTTACATCATAACTGACACCTGTTGGCATTTAAAGATTTAAAGTTGCCATGGATGAAAAAAGAGGTCCTATGGAAAGTAACCTCACAGGGCAATCTGATTATAAATTACTAAATGGGCAGGTCATGGTGGGTAGTCAGACCCCTGGCATATAACTTTTTTAGTAAAAGGTCTATCTTTGCCTTAAGCAAGCCCTGTTCATTGTTTCTGTGCATCTGTATTAGCACAACTTTAAATAAAGGGTAACCACCCTCAAGAGAGCATATAATTTTGTTAACTGACCTGTACCCCAGTCCCCACCTTGCTTTCTCCCCTCTCCATGCCATCCTCCTTACTTCCCTCCTCAAGTTCAAATGCATAAAAGAAACTGAAACTCGTTCTCCAGAGCATTTGAGATCTTACTCCCTGGCATCTGTTTGGTTCAAATAAACTCGAATGAAAATCAAAACAAAAAAAAAGACCTGAAGTTCCTTCAGCTAGAACAGAAAGACTAAGGGTGACCTGGCAGTTACAGAAGAAAATCATGAAACCAAGAAGCAGATTGTGACGCAATGACTTGCATTACAGAAGTAGAACTGGGCCCTGGCCAATTGGCTCAGCGGTAGAGCATCAGCCCGTGGACCAATGGGTTGCGGGTTCGATTACGGTCAAGGGCATGTACCTCAGTTGCAGTTCATCCCCAGCCCTGGTCAGGGTCGTGCAGGAGGCAACCAGTCAATGTGTCTCTCTCATTCCCTCCCACTCTATCTGAAGATAAATAGAAAAATATCCTCAGGTGAGGATTAAAAAAATTATTTTTTAATTTAAGAAAAAAAGAAGTAAGTCTGGGGCAGCTGGAGAAGTCTGCCGTGCCAGGTCCAAGCAGTTGCCTGGGCTCCCCTGGAGGCAGTGATGTCTCATTCTCTCAGAGGTGGAGCTACTTGGCTTCCTGAAAAAGATGCAGTAGAAGGCATTCTAATGCTCTCAGACAGGCTGAATTCCCTGGCCTCTGAGGTCCCACCCAGCTCTAAACTACTTGATGATGTTCACGTTCAAATGCCTCATAACATGGCCTCACCGTGCTCTCGCCACTCCCAAACTCTCTTAGGGAAAGTAGCTATTCAGCTTGGCCCACGCTCAACTTTTCAACTTTTCCCCAAGAGCCCGTCTTTATGGATCGTTTGCAACCCTTAGCCACAAAGGTAGCCTCTGCCAACTAGGTCCCTAGATCGTGCATTTTATCTCAACATGTGTTGTTACTCTAGCAAGGTGAATGTGTAAGCACGCCTCCCAAATAATGAGAGGTTTCAAAAAGTTGTCGTGTGATGCATTTCTGTAATTTGATAGCGCTAAATTTTTTTCTTGGACTTTCATTTTAGCCTAAAGATACCCAACAAGCACTTAGTAGAAAAGCATCAGCAGTAAACATGGAGAAATTCAAGAAGTTCGCAGCCCGGAAAAAGTGGAAAGTAAGATTATTTGATATGGAGGGATTTACTAATTCTTTTTCCTGTTCATTTCCAACAATTGTATGGGTTTTGATAGTCACATTGCCCGCCATTGCCAGCTTGCCTGGAACCCAGGACACAGTGCAAGAGCCTTGGATACCAGGCTTCTCTGGGGAGGGGCCACGTAAGGGCCTCGCGAGGGTGAGATCTAATTCCTCGAAGAATAAAGAACAAAATATTGAGAGGGAGGGGGACGTGGGGCACTCAGTTCTGTAGTTTAATAATGAAATACAGGAGACTCTCTCTACATCCTTTGTCTTGATTCATAAGACCTGTAGAATTATTCTTTAAGCAAACACAATCCAACCTGCTGTGGGTTGCCCGCCCCTGAAGACTGCGTGCTGTCAGCAGTGAACGCCATCTTAAAGACTTGCTTGCACTAATTTGAGTATTGTTACATAAACTGTCCTCTCCCCCTGCCTTTGTTTATCCTCTTTTTGTTTTTGTTTTTGTTTTTTAAGCAATCTGTTCGCTTGATATCACTGTGCCAAAGATTATCCAGGTCATTCTTATCCAGAAGTAACATGAGTGTCGCCAGAAGTGATGATACTCTGGTAAGCAAACTCGTTTGCCTTGGTGAGGCTCTTTGTTAGCACTGTGTACTTAGAATGTCTAGGTTGTTTGATTTGTTCAACAACTCAGAAAACCTGAAGTCGTGTAAACGTCAGGCCTGTCCTTCCTCTCTCAGGGCAGCGAGTTGGGGTGGCTGATTTGATGCACTCTGTTGCGTCTTTCGTCCTTTTTTCTTTGTGTTTTGATTGGCACCATACCTATTCCCACCCCATCTACCTCCTCCCACACACACAGTTTGATAAAAGAGAGGTTGGTCAGTTGAAGAGGGAAGAGCTCATTTTAATTTTTATGAACTAAAATGAAAGCCTTCTATTGCCACTGACCTGGGAGACTCTTGTATTCTAATAGTACAGAAGGGGCAGACAGTCTTCCCCGCGAAAACACATACACACACCAGAGAATCAGGAAAAACGCAGAAGGGCCTGCTGGTGTAGTTTGTGGTAGACCAGAAGGCTAAACCCGGTTGCCTTGTTGGCATTGCACTGACTGTACAAAGACCTTGAGAACAATTCCATAATTTTTTTCCCTCAATCCAAACTGAAACCTAATCACAGATTAGCTCTTCAGATATGACTAGACATATTTGAATTTAACAAGACTTTCCTCGGACGATGAGACAACAGGGCTTTGTTAACCCTGCTGGTAAAGAGGACTCCAGGTAAGGCAGAAAGGGTGATTCTGTGGGAACCAGGCTGCTCCTGTAACTGAATAGCCGGCGTTTCCTGAGTGGAATCCGGGGATTCCAAGGGCAGGATCACACATCAGCAGACACCAGCTCTTTGTCTTTTTTCCCCCTGAAGTTAGTGTTTCCCTGAGGCTGAAGCTCTAGACTTGCAGAATAAAAAGAGATCGGAAATGTTAAAAGGAAAAAAAGAAGTGGGAGAGAAGCAAGTTAGAAGAAGGGAGAGGAAGAGGAGGAAGGCTGGATTGGGGAATTGTATGAGGTTGGCAGTGGGACCAAAGAAAAGATAAACACTATTAATCTAAGTAAGATGATGAGAATAAATAAATATTATAGATTAAAACTATCCTGAATAATCAGTTGGGAGAAATTATATTTATTGCAAGAAAAGTTTAAGGTAGAAGAGCGACCAGGGTCGTGTAGGAACTTGAGGTGGGAAGGCTTCCTCCCAGACCTCGGGTTCTCATTCATCTCAGTATCCTGCCAACCACGAGGACAGGTCCGAACAATCACTTTGCTGTTTTTCTCAAGGATGAGGAAGACTCCTTTGTGATGAAAGCCATCATCCATGCCATCAACGACGACAATGTCCCAGGCCTGCAGCACCTCCTCGGCTCCTTGTCCAACTATGATGTCAACCAACCCAACAAGGTCCGATACTGTTCTGTCAGGGCCAGTAGGGGGTGGTCATGGTGACTGCAACTCCAAATCCAAGGTGGAGCGACCCCGTCTGTCTTCATTTTCCCTTCTAGTTGCAAACTCCATACTGTGGAAGAACTCACTTCTGTTTAGAGAGTGAAATGACTTAGAAATAAGGGACTTTTGCATTCGGGGCCATTCCACATGCACCAATGACACTGTTAACCGTGACATTTTAAACCTACACGTCCTGCACATGAAAATGTCACCTTTCATTATGAATCCAAAAGAGGAAGCGTGCTGTGCTCTGACCGGCTTCCATTCCCGTTACGTAGCAGTTGTTATACGGCTGTTGAGACAGCAGAAGGTGTGTGGGACAACAATGATAGTTTGGGCTTTTTCTTTCCTACCAAACCTGAAAAATTGTATTTTTTTTTTCTTACCTATTCCAGCATGGAACACCTCCGTTACTTATTGCTGCTGGCTGTGGAAATATTCAAATGCTACAGTTGCTCATTAAAAGAGGTTCAAGAATCGATGTCCAGGATAAGGTTATCATTCTCTTTTATTGCAAATAAATTGATTTCTTAAGTATTCTGCTCTAATCCTAGAGGTAACAGAGAAAATAATGTATGTTCTACTTCAGTTTTCTATAAAGGAAGATGAACTGCTTAAATAGCCCGGTCCAATCTAACATATATTATAAAGAAAGGTCTTTCTCTGGGCTCTGTTTTCGGATATCAGCTTTTCCGTGTACACTATTCCAGATTTTTCTCCTTACTGATCACATTTACTCAACAGTGTTATTACAAGATGTCCCATTTGGGAAAGTTTTCACTGTCTAATTAATCTTACCAGAAATGCGTGTGCCTGCTTGTTGACGGGGCCACAGAGGAGGCGGAGGTGCGTTGAGGCATAAATCACATGGGAAGTGTAGACGCACTGACTAGCAGCTAAAAGTCATCACAATGGTCTGTCGTCCGCCCCCTCAGATTTGCAACAGAGCAGTTAGAGGCCTGGACGTGGCCCTTGAAAATATCGGGAATTCTTACCAGAGGCTCAAACAAAACTTTTAAGAAAAGAAAAACAATTTTTTATTTTGTAATAATTTGATACTTCCAAAAAAATGTCCACAAAGATAATACGCAGGGTTCCCTCATCTCCTTTCCTCGGCTCTCTGGTATGTGAACGTATCACATAACCTCAGTCCCTGTGCAGAGACAAACGAAATAAGGGTGTTATTGCTCATGGACGTTGCTCCTTTGGAGTTTGCCACCACATAGGAAGGGAGGCGGAGCGTGTCTGAGTGGCGTGTGCTCAGGCCCATCCGCTCCTGGAAATGTGACTCCATGTCGGTTTTCATGCAGGGTGGATCCAATGCCATCTACTGGGCCTCTCGTCATGGCCACGTGGATACCTTGAAATTTCTCCATGAGAACAAATGTCCTTTGGATGTGAAAGACAAGGTAAGGCCACTTCTCTTCTTAGGGATGGGGATATAATTAAAGTGCATTTGAGCATCCGCCTGCCACGCACATCAGGACCCAAAGGAAAGAATTCAGGACCAAAATCTTCCTACAGAGAATTTAATCTAGAAATTTGTGCTGATGGCTTGGTCTAATAAAATCTGCTGTTAGCTGAAATCTGCCAGACAGTTGCCATAATACGCAAGCAGTGAATTACCTTGCACGGTACCATGAAAACTCAGAGTTCTAGTAGAAAGACAACCAGAAAGAGACCCAAGTCCTGGTCCTCACACTGACTCACCGTGTGCGTGTCTCTTTACAATACTCTTCATCTTTGAAGTGGCTGACAGTGCTGACCTTACCATCACTGGCACTAGAAGGATTCATGAGACAATGTATGTAAAGTAAGGCTTTTGGGGGCAAAGATTTTATAAAAAGTATTGACTTAGCAAGATACCTTACTTTCCCATATTCATGTTTTATTCAGTCCATCCCACAGTCCTGCACCTAGGGTTCCTCCCTTCTCACCCAGGGTTCCTCCCTTCTCACCCAGGGTTCCTCCCTTCTCACCCGGGGTTCCTCCCTTCTCACCCGGGGTTCCTCCCTTCTCACCCGGGGTTCCTCCCTTCTCACCCGGGGTTCCTCCCTTCTCACCCGGGGTTCCTCCTTCTCACCTAGGGTTCCTCCTTCTCACCTAGGGTTCCTCCCTTCTCACCCAGGGTTCCTCCCTTCTCACCTAGGGTTCCTCCCTTCTCACCCAGGGTCCCTCCCTTCTCACCCAGGGTTCCTCCCTGCTCACCCAGGATTCCTCCTTCTCACCTAGGGTTCCTCCCTTCTCACCCAGGGTCCCTCCCTTCTCACCCAGGGTTCCTCCCTGCTCACCCAGGATTCCTCCTTCTCACCTAGGGTTCCTCCCTTCTCACCTAGGGTTCCTCCTTCTCACCCAGGGTTCCTCCCTTCTCACCCAGGGTTCCTCCCTTCTCACCTAGGGTTCCTCCTTCTCACCCAGGGTTCCCCTTCTCACCCAGGGTTCCTTCCGCGTCTGCTCACCCTAGCGGTTCCCTCCCTTCTCACCCGGGGTTCCTCCCTGCTCACCGGGGTTTCTCCTCTCTCACCTAGGGTTCCTCCCTTCTCACCTAGGGTTCCTCCCTTCTCACCCAGGGTTCCTCCCTTCTCACCCGGGGTTCCTCCCTTCTCACCCAGGGTTCCTCCCTGCTCACCCAGGGTTCCTCCCTGCTCACCCGGGGTTCCTCCCTTCTCACCCGGGGTTCCTCCCTTCTCACCCGGGGTTCCTCCTTCTCACCCGGGGTTCCTCCCTTCTCACCCAGGGTTCCTCCCTGCTCACCCAGGGTTCCTCCTGCTCACCCAGGTTCCTCCCTTCTCACCTAGGGTTTTCCTCCTCTCACCTGGGTTCCTCCCTCTCACCCGGGGTTCCTCCCTTCTCACCCGGGGTTCCTCCTTCTCACCCGGGGTCCCTCCTTCTCACCCGGGGTCCCTCCCTTCTCACCCGGGGTCCCTCCCTTCTCACCCGGGGTTCCTCCCTGCTCACCCGGGGTTCCTCCCTGCTCACCTAGGGTTCCTACCTTCTCACCCATATGGATCCCACTGTGCAAACCACTGCTGCTTCTGACACGTGCAGAATAATGTGTCCTGTGTGGTCAGAGCTGCCACGTGCAGTGGTGGGGACTGTGCCCTGAACCAATCTAAGAATGACATTCACATCCAAGACACATATATATATCTGGCAGTTTCTGTCAGGTGGCAGTAAGGTATCTTGTTTTGCTTTGTTTTAATCCGTTTATTCTGGTAATTTTTTGACAGATGTAAGTAAAATACCTTAAGGAAGTTGCTTCTATTACTGATTCACTGAAAGTTATTGTGTGGGCTAAATAGTGATGTTTTAAAATCTCTGAGAATATAAGAGATGAGATTCTAAACATGGACAATGACATCAGAAACGTGTTAGTAAATACAACTGTACATTTAAATATCTGCTGTGTGACGAACCTAATATTAAAAAAAGGAGTTTTCACCCTGACTGGCTTGGCTCAGCGGTTAGAGCGTCAGCCCGCGGAGCAGAGAGACCCGGGTTCAGTTCCCGCTAAGGGCACGTACTTCGGTTGCAGTTTGTCCCCGGCCCCGATTGGGGTCATGTGGGTGGCAACCACTCAATGTGTCTTTCTCACATCGATGTTTCTCTCTCTCTTCCTCCCTCACTCCCTCCCACTCTACCTGAAGATACATGAAAAAATGTCCTCCGGTGAGGATAAAAAAAAAAAGGAGTTTTCTGTTTAAAGAAATCGCATAGCTAAGAAGCATCAGTAGATAAAGAAGTTCGGGAACAGCCATCGCAGACGGGGGAAAGCATTCTCACCTGGGGGTTTTATGACAAACAGGATGAGCTATAGCTGTGTAATGGACACTCCACACCAGGGTCCATGGCCCAGTCACAACGGGCCATCTGAACAGAGAGGATGGGCACCCTCAGAGAGGAGGACGTGGAGCCCCTCTGTGAGGATGGCCTCCAGGCCTGTGCGTTCTGTCCCCACAGCCTGCTCCCAGGGCACTCTGAATCTTGGGCTGTTTCTTTTGCAGTCTGGAGAGACAGCCCTTCACGTGGCAGCTCGTTACGGCCATGCTGATGTGGTTCAGTTACTGTGCAACTTCGGCTCCAATCCCAATTTCCAGGACAAGGTGAGTCATGGCAGCTGATGTCCTCTCTTCCTTCCGCCCTCCGCGTGCATGTGCAGGCTGACAGTGATATGTCCCGGTCCCCTCAGTGTTATCCGTGTTTCTGCTTCGATTCCAGAGGACAGGGCCTCAAACCGAAGCATTATCTAACATTCATTGATTCACTCTTCTGGACAGCCCTATGAAGTGGGTTACTATTACTATCATTCTCATTTTACAGAAGAGGAAACTGAGGCAGTGAGAGGTTCAGTATCTTGCCCAAGCTCACACAGCTCATAAATGGTAGAGCTGGGGCTTGGGATTCGAAACCACACAGTCTGGTTCCGGAGTCCCTGTCAGTAACCACTGCACTGTAAAGTCCTCTCGTAGGCAGACGTGTGTGTGACGATGTTGGCCATGAGTATGTAGCCTTACAATGCTACAGACCTGGCCAGCCCTCCCCTTGACTGTTAAAATGTTATCTCAGCTACTTTTATTTGCCACAGCAATAGTACGTTTATGTGTCCCATCTTTATGTTATATGCGTGACAGAAATCGTGAGGCACCAAGATTGTTATGAGAATTCTTGTTCAAAGAGGTGCTCTCCTACTGTCAGTCATCTCAGATGAAGTGAACGAGGGCACTTTTATAAGATGTTAAAAACTCACCCACGCTGGGGCTCTATTGTTCAAAATAGCTGAGCTGTTGTTTCCAGCGGTTCCCAAAAGGCAGTTGTCACTCAAATGCTGAGGATGCCAGATTCATCCAACACACAAGCGTTGAGGAAAGAAAGCTGATGAAGGAGAGGCCCACGTCTATTATTTCAGATTAATGTTTCGCTCCATTCGCTATTAGCCCATTCTCTTCATTGTCTTGACTTTGCTGCCGATTCAGCAGGGACTCTCATCTTGCCTGCACTTTCTCTCATGTTATTGCAATCTCCTTCTCTACACACTTGTGTCGTTGGCCAGGAAGAAGAAACCCCTCTGCACTGTGCTGCCTGGCACGGCTACTACTCTGTGGCCAAAGCCCTGTGTGAAGCTGGCTGCAACGTGAACATTAAGAACCGAGAAGGAGAGACGCCCCTCCTGACCGCCTCCGCCAGGGGCTACCACGACATCGTGGAGTGTCTGGCTGAACATGGAGCCGACCTTAATGCCTCTGACAAGGTACTTTGGGTGAATGCATCACACTCACTGAGAAGTGATCTGGGGGTCCAGAGGGACCACAAGACTTCCTTAATTAGTTTACCTAAAGTAAACTTGAATGCAGCAAATTGTAATTATCTTTTCTCTGCCCCAAAGATTCCATGAACCTTTTAGAGTCTGTTTAACAATTAATACTCATCTGTGGCATGTAGCAAAATTTATGAATTGGTCAGATGACTCGGGGTCTCTTTTATTTTTAGCCTTTTTAGCTGAGAGCAGGTTCAGTGATGATCGCTGAGCCCAAGACAATCCTCATTTAGGACTATATTTGGCAGTGCACTATTAATTTGTAGATAAACAAAGAAATAGGTGGTTTCTTTATTTCCATCACCTGCTATTTTGTAAAAAGATAATAAACCACTCTTATTTGTCTGAATCCCAATTCTAGACCAGGTGTTCCTTTTTTAATTAAGCAAATGCAACATAATTTGTTTCTGTTGTACTCAAACTTGTACAACTTGTACATGAACTTGTACTCAAAATGAAGCTGTGATCTTGCCATATATAGTTAAATCTGGTCACTGTAGTTAATCTAGTAACTGCCATTATGGAGTATATTCTTGGTACAGAGAAGTTCTCAACTGGCCTTGCCCCCAGGGGACATTTGGTAATGGCTTGAGACATTTATTGGTTGTTGTGGGTGTTAGACCAATGGTGCCGCTTATATCCTACAACTCACAGGACAGGACCAAAATGTCAGTATGCTAAGATTAATAAACCCTAGAACCGATGAGGTTTAGAAATGTTTCCAAACCCTCTACCAGCTCCTGAAACTCAACACATCTGCTCAGCAGGGATTCTCTAGTAGGTAGAAGGAGTTCCCAGGCTGGCCTTTGGTGGGGTACAGTGGTTAAGCATGTATGTTTGCTTTTCATATATATGACGGCCCCGAGCAAATCACTCCACATCGCTCCCTCAGCTTCTGGTGTAGATTGCTGGGCGAATGTTTTCAGAAGTATTTTCCAACGACTTGATAAAACAGGCCATTGGAGTTCCAACAACTACTTAAGCCTTGTACATTCAGAGACAAACAGAAGTGTCAACTCTTTCTACCCAGTTGTACTGGCCACACTGGTGGTCAGCAGAGTCTGATTATTCAGAGGGGAATGTATGGGGCCTCCCCCCTTCCCAGGAGTAAAGGTCATGGTTTTTAATCCTCCTTCAGGCTTTGCAATAGGGGTCCTGTTGCCAACTAAACCTAGCCCAGTGGCGGCGGGAACGCAAGGCCAGGCCCACGTGCCTAAGTGAAAGTGCTCATGCCCCCCGCGGTCTGTTGCAGGATGGACACATCGCTCTCCATCTCGCCGTGAGACGATGTCAGATGGAGGTCATCCAGACTCTCATCAGCCAGGGATGCTTCGTTGATTTCCAAGACAGGCACGGCAACACCCCGCTCCACGTGGCCTGCAAGGATGGCAATGTGCCTATTGTGGTGGCCCTCTGTGAAGCCAACTGCAATTTGGATATCTCAAACAAGGTAAGGCCCGAAGGAAAGGTCCCTGAAGGCCCAGTGTCTGTTGACCTGCTTCTGGATTTTATCCAAGTTTCTCTTTGCATGTCTTCATTGTTCAATCAGTATTACTTCTATGAACCTGTTCTTTTTTACAGGGCTCTCCACCTAAAGTCGTAGCTTACAAATGACTCCTGAACAATTTTGTAGAATAACAGAAAATGATTACGTTAGTACTTCCTACCTAACCTGGTTTACCACATATGGGCATTGAGAAAGAGTCAGACAGACAGACAGATACTGTCCACCTGTAGAAGAATCAGAGAACATGGTACAACCCGGGGCATCTTTCTGGAGCTCTAAGTCTTCAGGAAAACACCTAATGCTTTCTGATTTGATTGGATTCCCAGGGCCAGGTTTCTCTTCTTGGCTTTCCCCCATTGAGAGGTTTATGGTCAAAAGTTTATTACACCATTTTTTGTGCTAAATACATTTTTTAAGACCAAGGGGATGCTATTATTTGATGAATGAAAATAAGTAATTTCAGGTTGATTTTTTAAAAATCTCATTCTCTAGACTTCTGGAAGGAAGCTAACACTTTCCCTAAATACCAACTAGATTTTCATTACCAAATAAGACTATTCAGTTGGTTTTGACCCTTTAACTGTATGAATGGCAAACACTATTCTATTAAGATTGTGTTAAAAACAAAGTCCAGCCCTGGCCAGTTTGTTCAGTGGTTAGAGCATTGCCCCAGGGACCAAAGGGTTGCAGGTTTGATTCCCGGTCAGGGGCACAGACCTGAGTTGGAGATTCAGTCCCCGGCCCTGGTTGCGGCTTTCAGGAGGCAACCAATCAGTGTGTCTCTCTCCCATTGAAGTTTTTGTTTTCTCTCTCTCTCTCTCTCTCCCTTCCACTCTATCTAAAAATCAATGGAAAAATATCCCCAGGTGAGAAAAGTCCAAGTAAAATTATTATAATTAATTGTTGGAAATTTTTTTTTTATAAATGGCAGGCATGATGCCAGTAAACTTTTATTATGATTTGTTTGAGGTAAAAGAATTAATTATCTGAAACAACTGGAAAATTATACTTCTACCAAAAAAAAAAAAAGTCATTCCTGTTGCATATTATGTGATTAATTCTAATGGAAATTGAAATTGGTAATCTTCACATTCTAGAAATATGAAAAGGCAATATCCTGGGTCTTAGCCATTAGCGCTCACTGCTTTCTTAGTTTATCCCATTCTAAGCTTGCCAAGTCCGTTATGTAAGTGGCTTAAGGGGAAAGCCAAATGTAATATTGAGAAGCCTCAAGCCCTTGGCTTTCCTTCTAGGAGCCTCTAGATGAATAAAAAGTGACTTCAAGGAACATTGTGTCACTCGTTTGAATACATTTAGACTTGGCCATCGTATGCCCGACTGAGGTGAAGAAGCGCCGCATCTCATCTGTTTTGCACTAATCTAAAGGAGGGATCGGGTGGTCGCCTCATGCCTAAATGCAAAAAAGTGTGCTTGTTAAATATGCTCTAAAAATACTCAGCCACATAATCCTAGACTTTCATGTGTAAAAACAACTGACTCGTTTAATGGGAAAGCCTTGATATTTTTTAAAATTTTTATTGATCGTATTAGGAAGCCTCGATGTTTTTGATACTACAGGTGGCCGTGGTAGTTCACATACACCAACATAAACTTGAATTTTTACTACGTACGGCCCAGTAACAGCACATAGAGGGCATTCAGGCGGTGACTTTGTCATTGAGCGGCGCCCAGCTGGAGGAAAACTCATTGGTTTCACAGTTTCAACCTCTTGGCATCAGCAGCAACGTTCAGACCATTCTTCAGAGCCCACCTGGAGCAGCTCTGGCTCCTTGGACCTGCGCGGCCTCCCCAGTTTGCCTGCGGTGCTCGGGTTCAGCCCCGGCACCCTCGTGGGTTTCCCGCCTTCCTCAGAAGGGCTGGTGGCAGCTTTGTTTCTGTGTTCCTTTTTGTAGGAAACATAACAGGGACTCAAGAGGAGCTTAGAAGATGTGCAGAAAAGTAAAAGGAAGGCATTATGCCCCCAGAAAGCTCAGCTGGCCTGACGTGGACGTGCCCTAGTAACTGGCTGTCAGGATTCGGGACACCGCACAGTGACAGCCGCGCCTTACAGGCAGACCGCCGTCCTTTCCCGCGGCGTGCCTTTTCCTTACCTGGATTCAATTCCCCCACACATGAGAATGGCCATTTAGACCCTACCCCTGTCACCAGGATGTGGCAGGAACTTGTCACTATCTTTGACACTGATTGCAATGTAATAGACATTTCTCAGTCTTCACTTGTCTCATTTGAAAATCAGGACAGTGGCTGTTGAACTTGGCCATGTTAGGGAACACACAAGAGGAGGAGAAATAGATCATGCTGAGCACACAGCCCTTAACACTCTGTTCCTTTTGTGTTGATTCTTCTCATCAGCTTGTACACACACGATGTACACACACCATACAGATGCACACACACATACATCGGGAGCATAAGAGAAAATGTCATGCCCATCGAGTGTTGATCATTGCCCTTCTCTGACAGCACTGTGCCATGCACGTGGGAGGGAGCTTGTGGGGAGCAGAGTGGATGGTTCTTGCCCTCAGACTGCTTTTCAATATAATGGCATCTCATGTTGCATTCACGGCTATGACAGATGCACTGGCGCTATGGAAACGCTGACATCTGGACATTAAAGAAACTGAGGGAAGCTTTTCAAAGGCAGTCATTTTATTTATTTTTTTAATATTTTTTCTTTATTGATTTTAAAGAGAGAGGAAGTGAGAGGGAGAGAGAGAGAAACATCAATGAGAGAACATCGATTGGCTGCCTCCTGCATGCCCCCACTAGGGATTTGGCCCACAACCTGGGCATGTACCCTGACTGGGAATTGAACCGGCGACCTCTTAGTGCGTGGGTCAACGCTCAACCAGTGAGCCACACTGGCCAGGCGAGAGGCAGTCATTTTGAATGATTGGACATTTAAATGATTGGACTTGCAGTACATTGGTCTGTATCGCAGACTGAGGGAAGCGTATGTGTGTTTGGGAACTGTCTGGTGCCCCTGTAGCCGACACATGGTGTAGGTACTTAGGGTGTGTGAATGCTTCCTCTCTACTTTCTAAGTCACTCTAGAGAATGACAGTAGTCAAAACATAAATATGTACACTCCTGGCAGCATTATAATGACAAGAAATGGAACCATCGTAAGGGTCCGTCCTAGGCAGGCTGGCTAATGAGCTGTGACATATTCATATAGTGGATATTATTCAGGTATCTAAAAGAATGTAGTCGATTTAGTTAGACATGGAAAAGTGTTCACAATCTAGCATTAGGTGGATGAAGCAGGTGACAGAATAGAATCTAGAGTATGATTACATCTTCACTTTTCAAAGTACCTCTTTTTATGGATTCATAGATAAAAGCTGGGAAGGAAATGCCCCAAAGTGTTAAGTAGGGCTAGCTCTGAATAGGGAACTTGCGGGGAGGAGCAGCGTAAGGAAGGACTTCTGTTTTCTACCATTTGTCCTTCTACAGTGTGTGGATATTTTCAATGAGCCTGTGTTAGCTTCATAACAAAAAAATCTATATTTGCAAATAAACAACATAGGATAGAAATGCCCTAACATTCTCGGTTCCCAACGACTGTCATGACATGGTTCCCCAGGGAAAAAGAAATGCCTAACAGCCCGGCCGTGTGGCTCAGTGGATTGCGCGTCCTCCCATGGACTGAGAGGTCCTGGTTCAATTCCCTGTCAGGGCACATGCCTGGGTTACCAGCTCGATCCCCAGTAGGGGGCGTGCAGGAGGCAGCCGATTGATGTTTTTCTCCGTCTCTCCCTCCCTTTCTCTCTAAAAAAAATTTTTAAATATTTTTTTAAAAAGAAAGAAAGAAATACCTAACAGTTCTGTTTACTAAGTATTTCAGTCTAAACAACTTAGTATTTGTATGCCAACAAGTCAGTAGCTGTTGCAATGAGTGATTCACGTAAATTGAAAGAATAATATTTTAATTTCATTCTTACATAACCACAGTTATGTAAGACGTGTGTGCTTGCTGGGCAACTCCTCAGACCTTGGACTCAGACTGAACATTAATTTTCTCAAGATACTTCCTTCTTATCACAGTGACCACCAAACCCTGCTGTGCAGACACGACGTTATTGGAAGGAAGACAGTGCAGCCTAATGTTGAGACTCTGACTACCTGCAGCTAGTCATTCATCCGGTGTCCAGACCTGCCACTTTCATCAAAAACTTAAAATATTTATCATGCCCCCGTGGATTTACGGCAGTGCCCTACGGTGCCTTGGCACACAATTTGGGAACCATGGGCATAAAACCGAAATGGTGGCACGGCCTCATGAGAGTGTCTTCAGTAGCCATCCTTCCATCCCTTCTTCCCTTGCTGTGTCCACATGTGAACTGGTGCAGATCTTTCTGGAACCTTGGGGCCAGCCCTTAAGCCCTGATTCAACCCTCCTTTATACCAATTCAGCAAGAGACTTGATTACCTTATGATAAGCCTCCCACTCTCCTCCTTTGAAGTTCAATGTTGAGGTTACTCTTTTAACTGAAAGCATACTTGAAAACATTGCGCTCGGCTTGCCTCCCTCCAGGGACCGCAAGTTTCTGGAGAAGGCAGACCGTGCCTCCTACTTCTCCCGGGCAATCCCAGACCCCTCACACAGTGCTGGCCCCGTGGGATGGACCCCATAAAAGTTATCCTCAGGCTCAATTGTGAGAAGGTCTCCCTGGGATCTTCTTTGTGTCTTCCAGTACGGACGGACACCTCTGCACCTTGCAGCCAACAACGGGATTCTGGACGTGGTCCGCTACCTCTGTCTGACGGGCGCCAACGTGGAGGCGCTGACCTCGGTGAGTAGCCTCCGGCAGGAGGACGCGACTGAAGCCATCGGAGGCCGAAGGGAAAGGTTTTGCTTGGCAACTGCTTCCGAAGCAGACAAGCTGCTATTAAGCGTCAGCCTCCACTGCGGTGCTGTGAGCATTTGCCCACACAGACCCAGGGTGATGTCTAGTTACTGTTCATCCTCGTCCCTCACCAGCCCGCCTTGACAGGAGCGCCTGCTGCTTCCCACGGCCTGTTTGTTCCGTGTTACACAACTGTGCCTTTGCCTGTTCCAGTGGGTGTGTGTGTTCTTTCCCAAATGCTCCCCCTCTGTGCGGGGCACTGAGGCGCCGTGGGCTTTCGGGGAGGGAGGGGGAGGGGCCCTGGGTGGCAAGCAGCAGCTGACAAGAGCCACTGTCTCTTGTTTAAAAAGTCTGGCCTTGCTGTTAGGCCTGCAAATTATTTTTAAGTGAGATTTGTTCAGTTCTCCTCATTCCCCACTCCTCACTCCAGGCCTGGTGCCTCCCTGCAGAAGAAACCCTTCGATTCTCATTTCATGAAATACCAAAGAGGAAAGCATGTCAGCTAATGAGAGAAGGTTACCGGTGTTGGCTGCAGTGAAGTATGATCGTTTGAGTTGTTTCTGGCCAACTGGGTTGACTCCATTCCCTCACGTGGGAGATTCCTGAAACTCACTAGCGCTTTGCTGACATCAAGTGTTTTTCTTTTTTTTTTTTTTTTTTATCCTCACCCGAGGACATTTTTCCATTTTTTGTTCAGATAGAGCGGGAGGGAGAGAGAGGAAGAGAGAGAGAGAAACATCGATATGAAGGGACACATCGAGTGGCTGCCACCCGCACGACCAACCAGGGCCGGGGACAAACTGCAACCGAGGTACATGCCCTTAGCGGGAACCGAACCTGGGTCTCTCTGTACCGCAGGCCGACGCTCTAACCGCTGAGCCAAACCGGCCAGGGCATCAAGTGTTTTTCTAAGTCAATCCATCGGAGTTTTAAAATACGGCAACTAGCCTGGAGAGAATCAGGGTGCTGAGGCTGGAAGGAGGGCCTCGTTTCTTGGAGTCATAAAGGGGCTGACAAACTTGGGTCCACGGGCCAAATCCAGCCACTGCCTGATTCTGTGGATGCGGTTTCATTGGGACACGGCCATGCTCGTTGTGTTTGTATGGTCTATGGCTGCAAGGGCAGAGGCGAGCCATTGTGGCAGAGTGCTTATGCCCACAGAGTCCAAAATATCGGCTGTCTTCATTGGGACACGGCCATGCTCGTTGTGTTTGTATGGTCTATGGCTGCAAGGGCAGAGGCGAGCCATTGTGGCAGAGTGCTTATGGCCCACAGAGTCCAAAATATCGGCTGTCTGGCCCCGAACAGAGTGGATGCTGGCCTCTGGTCTGGGACACAGGCATGCGTCAGAGATACTGCAGGTTCAGTTCCAGACCACAGCAGTAAAACAAATATCATAATGAAGCAAGTCACACGAAATTTCTGGCTTCCCGGTGCACAAAGAAATTAGGTTTGTACTGCACTGTGCAATGTGCAATGGCACTACGTCTGCAAAAACACCGCACGTAATTAAAAATTGTTCATTGTCAAAGCATGCTGACCATTACCAACTTTCAGAGAGTCAGTAACCTTTGTGCTGGTAGAGGTTCTTCCTACCCCTAACTGACCGCTGAGGGCAGTCGTTGCTAAAGGTTAGGGTGGCTGTGGCAATTTCCAAAAATAAGACGACCATGAGGTTTGCTGCACAGATCGACTCCTCCCTTCCGAAACGATGTCTCTGCAGCACAAGAGGCCATTTGATAGCGTTTCACCCACAGGAGAGCTTCTTTCAAAATTGGAGTCGATCCTCTTACACCCTGCCATTGCTTTATCAACTAAGTGTATGTGATATTCTACATCCCTTGTTGTCATTTCCGCAGTCTTCACAGCATCTTTTTTTTTTTTTATCCTCACCCGAGGACATTCTGGCATTTATCTTCAGATAGAGTGGGAGCGAGAGAGGGGAAAGAGAGAGAGAGAAACATCGATGTGAGAGAGACACATCGACTGGTTGCCACCCACACAACCCAACCAGACCGGGGACAAACTGCAACCGAGGTACATGCCCTTAGCGGGAACCGAACCCGGGCCTCTCTGGTCCGCGGGCCGACGCTCTAACCGCTGAGCCAAACCGGCCAGGGCTTCACAGCATCTTCACCAGTAGATTCCATCTCAAGAAACCAGTTTCTTTGTCCATCCATGAGAACTAACTCCTCGTCTTGTTAGTTTTATCATGAGGCAACTGCAATTCAGTCCCATCTTCAGGCTCCACTTGTAACTCTAGTTCTCTTGCCGTTTCCACCACACCTACAGTTACTTCCTCCACCGAAGTCTTGAACCCCTCCAAAACCTCCATGGTTGGATCAACTTCTTCCAAACTCCTGTTGATGTTGGTATTTTGACTTGTTCCCAATTACATATATTCTTAGTGGCATCTATAATGATGGGTTCTTACCAGAAGGTTTTTTATTTACTTTGCCCAGATCCATCAGAGGAATCACTATCTATGGCAGCTATAACCTTTCAAAATGTGTTTCTTAAATAATAACTCTTAAAAGTTAAAATTACTCCTGACCCATGCGCTGCAGAATGAGTGCTGTGTTTGCATGAAACACGCATCTCCGTGCCCATCTCCGCCAGAGCTCTGGGGTGACAGGTGCAGTCCCGGAGCAGTCACATTTGGAAAGGAATCTTTGTTTTTCTGAGCAGTAGGCCTCAACAGTGGGCTTAAAACATTCAGTAAACATGCCGTCAGCAGATCCACTGCCACCAGGCGTTGTCCACCGACAGAGCACAGGCAGAGCAGGGTTAGCATAATCCTGAAGGGCCCTAGGATTTTCAGAATGGTAAATGAGCATTGGCTTTAACTTCAAGTTACCAGCTAGAGGAGCCCCGAAACAGCAGAGTCAGCCTGTCCTTTGAAGCTTGGAAGCCAGGCATTGACTTCTTTCTAGCCAGGAAAGTCCTAGGTGGTATCTTCTTCTGATAGAAGGTTGTTTCATCCACGTTGGAAATCTGTTGTTTAGTGTCACCACCGTCCTTAGTTATCCTAGCTAGATCTGGATAATTTGCTGCGGCGTCTAACACTTGGTGTCCAGCAGGGGGTGGTGTGACCCTTATGGCGCGTGCTCCCCACTGAGGAGCACACCTTGAGGCACCATGATGGCTTCTGCCTTCAGTGTGAGACTTCTAATGCCTCGCAGCAGGCACTCGGTAGCGGATGGTGCCAGTGGCAGGAGATTTCAGGACACTCCCTCTCACCTCAGCACTCCGCCGGAGCCCAGGGAGCCTCCTTTGTCAGCGCCCTCCGCAGGTGTGATTTGCTCCTGTTCCTTGCTCTGTTGGAATTGACGGTTGAGTCTCCCACAAGACTGTGAGCCCTTGGCCATGAGCACATGTAATCTGTCGCGGTCTCCTAACTGGTCGCCCTTCTTCCACCCTCACCCGTCCGCAGTCTGTTCCTCACACGGCAGCCTGCATGACCTTGTTCAGACGTGAGTCAGATCGTGTCCCACCTCTCTGTCAGGGTACAAGTCCTTATGGGGTGGGGGCTCCCTGACCCCATCGCTTGCTCCTCCTCCTTCCCTTGCTCCTCCTGCACCAGCCACGTCTTCAGACATGCCAGCTATCCACACCGCAAGCGCGGGACTTCTGCAGGCATGCAAATGGCGTGCTCTCTCGCCTCTTCTTGAAGGTTTTGACTCAGTATCACCCCCTCATTGCAGCCTTCCCGGACCATCCTTTGTAACAAGGAGGGCACTGAAGGCAAGGGTCGCTCGTGGGCCAGGCACAGCCCAGAGAGTCAGCACCTTGCTCAGGGTACGTGGCAGAGATCCAGCTCCTACCCTTGTCCCTCTTAGACAGAAACCAGGGAGTTTAGAGAAATCCCCTGCTCTTTTATTAGTAATTACCAGTGCTTGCTTTGCCTGTGCCTGGTACTTTGTTGGTTCTTTCCACTGGTTTCTCTCATCTGCTCAGAACCTGTGCAGTGAGTGTGTCTGTTCCCATCTCTCAGATGAAGAAACCCAGACTCCAGGCGCCCAGGTGACTGGCCACCGCTGGTGAGGTGCAGCTGGGACTCAAACCTGGGTCCTTCGAAGTCCCAGGTTCACACTCATTCCCGACAATGGCGGGCGTCATTTTTGGAAGCCTGAAGAGTTTCCTTTAGAGCAATGTGTTTTGCAAAGTGTAAGTTCTGTGCAAAGGTCAGGATTATTTTTCTGTCATTTGGGAGGCTTCACGGTGGAGAGTAACATTTGTCACTGAGCATCCTCACCTGTCTTGTATGTAGATCTGAGGTGTTCCGCTGAAATAATCATGGCCAGACATGCCAGGAGACAGAAAATTTAAGTTGAGGCTCAGATGTCTCGAGCAGTGGTTCCCAAACTTTCCTGCGCAATAAAATTACCCGAGAGCACCGAGAATCTCGATTCCCAGGTCACACCCCAGAGTGGCAGAAGCAGTGTCCAGGTGGGAGCCAGGCCGTGGGAGCTCTCAAAGGCCCCAGTGATTCCACTGTGCAGTGGCGTTCGGGACCACCAAACTGAGTCCTCTTACCAAGTCAGTAAAAAATCTAGATTGGCCCTGGCCGGTTTGGCTCAGCGGTTAGAGCGTCGGCCCGCCAACCGGAGAGGCCTGGGTTCGGTTCCTGCTAAGGGCACGTACCTCGGTTGCAGTTTGTCCCCGGCCTCAGTTGGGGCCGTGTGGGTGGCAGCCACTCCATGTGTCTCCCTCACGTCGATGTTTCTCTCTCTCTTCCCCCCTGTCTCCCTCCCACTCTATCTGAAGATAAATGCAAACATGTGCTCTGGTGAGAATAAATAAATAAATAAAATCTAGTTTGGCATGAATTCTGATATGGTACCTAACACACCCCCAAAGCAAAATAGAAGCCCCACCTCCCCACTGGAGACTTTTCGGGACCCTCCGGTCGCAGAGAGAGATGGCACAGGATTGTAAAGCCTCCTCCGAGCACCATCTAAGCTTCCAGCTTCCGCCTAAGGTGCTGGTCCTCACCTGGGCGATTTCATCCCAGGGAGTATTGGGCAGGAGCTGGGGACTCTGTGGGGTGACCCGTGGGGGAGAGGAATATGCTGCTGCACCTCGTGGTTCAGGCCAGCGTGCTGCTCAGCACCCCACAGCGCACGGGGCAGTCCCACCTGGAGAAGGACCCGCTGCAGTGTCAGTCATGCCTGGGTTGAGAAACACGGTTAAATAGACCCCACACATCACTCAGGAGTGACTTGCTTTGAGAAATTGGAAGATGTGCTGTTACACAGATTTGGGCATTTCTTGGCTTCCATGGGGATGGGACGTTGTTACTGCTAAACACTGAGAGATAGGCCAAAAAAGGCTCTTATTTTTCTTGTTTAAAAACATTGCTTTTATTAATGTGGAAACTGCTCCTCATCATTTCTGCGTTTAAGTTTATAATGATTTCTAAAACTATGGAACAGTCGCTAAGCCTCCGTGCCCTCCTGGGTGGCGTGTGCACAGCCGTGGTCCCCGCCCCCCATGCCCAAGTCCGTGCACAGGGGCACTGGGTCGGGCGGTGCTTAGAGGAGCCCGTGAACATCAGCCACTGTCACGCACGTTTGTGGCATGAAACAAATGCATTTGTGAAACTGCAGCCCTGTGGACATTTTCTACTTAAAAAGCAAACACCAAAGTGCTGTGGACCCTCATTTCCTTGTCAACGTGAGAAACATCCAAACCTGTAAGAATTTTTGAGCATTTGGGCCAAACTTGGTGACAATTGCTGGGGAGCAAAAATCTCAAAAGACTGAGAAAATGCTCTGAAGAATGGCGGTTTTGCACCTTATTTTATACATTAGAATCAAAGGAGGAAAATGTAAAGGATTACATGAAACCCATTGGTGATAGATTAGGGATTAGGGACCCTGGAGGTAGGAGAAAGCCAAGGAGGGGGTTGTCCCTGAGGTTGGATAAAAACTAGAAGGGAGGACACATTGGTGGATATAAGGTAGTTAACAGTCAACAATTAATACAATAACAATAACAATGAGGGGTTCTGTGGTCTGTGCTCTGGTACAGTGATTGACCCCTGAAAGGAAATTAGCCTGACATTCCGAAGGTATGTTATCATAGATGCAGAAAGACAATAGACAGGCTCATTAAGGTGAGGACTAACCTTTGCACCCAGCTGGTGTGGCTCAGTGATTGAGCATGGACCCATGAACCAAGCGGTCACCGATTCGATTCCCAGTCAGGGCACATGTCCAGGGCACATGTGGGCCAAATCTCCAGTGGGGAGCATGCAGGAAGCAGCCAGTCAATGTCCTCTCTCATCGATGTTTCTTTTTCTCTCTCCCTCTCCCTACCTCTCTCTCTCAAATCAATAAAGAAAAAAAAATTTTTTTTTAAACTGACCTTTGTCAGGGAGATACAACCTAGGAAAGCACAACCCACCATGACTAGCTTTTAGTTAGAAAGTTTGATTTCAGCCCTGGCCGGTTTGGCTCAGCAGTTAGCGTTGTCGGCCCGCGGACCAGAGAGTCCCGGGTTCGGTTTCCGCTAAGGGCATGTACCTCGGTTGCAGTTCATCCCCGGCCCCGGTTGGGGTCATGTGGGTGGCAACCAGCCGGTGTGTCTCTCTCACATCGATGTTTCTCTCTCTTCCTCCCCCTCTCCCTCCCACTCTATCTGAAGATAAATGCAAGAATGTCCTCGGATGAGGATAAAAAAGAAACTTTGGTTTCAGACCACCCTGTGTGGTTACTTTAGGTCTCTGAGTTTGTAAGGCCGCCATGCAGGCCTTCCCTGAGCTTGTCAGGTTTACTCTGTGGCCCCTTTTTTGTCCACATCCTCCTTTTATCTTCCCTGAAAATCCTCAGAGATAATTGTCTGTTAAACGAAGCCTTTTCCTGAATGCACAGCAATTAGCACCAGCAAGTAGCATGACATCGGTGCTGAGGTTTGCCTGTGGACGTATTTTAAGATGTTAGCTGACACTAACTAGAGTTTGGCGTCTGATGACAGGCTGGACTGTCTGCCTCACTGGAGAACGGTTCCCCGAGTCATCTGCCCTTTAATGAGGTGCTGGCTTTGATGAAAGCCTGGGGCCGGAGCCGTCCCACCATTGGACCTCAAAACACCAGTGACGGTTCCGCCTACTTGTCCTCTCCTAGACACCAGGTGACATAAGGGTTGCCCAGACAGGGAGCTAAGCCAGGATGAGCTCTTTTTGTCCACCTTCTTTGCTTCTGACCCTCGTTCGTGTTTCTGCCTCCGGTGACAGGATCGCTGCACGGAGCACAGCTCTCTGCTGCGAAGGAAAATAACTAATCATTTTTCTCCAACAGGATGGAAAGACGGCGGAAGACCTCGCTAGATCGGAACAGCACGAACATGTAGCAGGTCTCCTGGCAAGACTCCGAAAGGTGAGACATTCGGTTTATTGGTCTGAAATTCTGTTTTTATGTGAAAATCTGTCTTTTCCCCTGTAAACTCTGAGAATGGGGCTTCGGACTCGCAGGCTGTGTGAAAAGGCGGCCGTCCCTGTCCCGTGGTTTGCATGTCCGTTTGCAAAAATGTTACCAGCGACCTGCTGGACTTCTTGCTCTGTGTTTGGAGACCACTCGGCCTCCTCCCGGCTGCTGGCCTCTCTGTCACCGGTGCCCCAGCCCCGTAAAGTGGAGGGGAAGCGAGAAGGCTGATTCTGCTTCTTTCCCTCTTAAGGTTTTGAGCACGTGTGCTCTGGTTTATTTAACATCACTGCTGAGGTTTAAAGAAACATGACAAAAATAAGTAGATGCAGGTGTGACTTTCTAGCCACATTATAGCAGTGCGGATTAAGAGACTTCAAAACAGTCATACCCTTTCAGCGAGAAACTCCAGGTCTGGGACTGTACCCTAAAGAAATGAAAGGAACGCAGGGAAAAGTTGATTGCAGTGTTATTTGTACCACAGTACTAAAAGTTGGAAATATCAGATGACCAACAATAAGGTGTAGCAAATTGTGGTACAGCTATAGAATAGAATGCTTTTCGGCCATTAGAATATTTTGTTGTTGTTGTTGTTAATCCTCACCTAAGGATATTTTTCCATTGATTTTCAGATACAGTAGAAGGGAAGGAGGGAGAGAGAGAAAGAGAGAGAAATATCAATCGATTGGTTGCATCCCACATGACCCCGACTGGAGCTGGGGATCAAATCTGCAACCCAGGTACATGCCCTTGACCGGGAATTGAACCCACAACACTTTGGTTCGCAGGCCGACACTCTAACTTCTGAGCCAGACCAGTGAGGGCCAGAATATTTTTTTTTCTTTATTGATTTTAGAGAGAGAGTGAGAGGGAGAGAGAGCTTGAAATACTGATGAGAGAGAACATCGACTGGCCGCCTCCTGCATGCCCCCTACTGGGGATTTGGCCCACAACCTGGGCATGTGTCCTGACTGGGAATCGAACCTGCGACCTCTTGGTGCATGGGTCGATGCTCAACTACTGAGCCACCCTGACTGGGCCCATTAGAATATTTTTAAGAGGTTTTCAGTAACAGGGGTTTAATGCTTAGGATGTTCCTGGGCTTCAAAGCAGAAGGTAAATTATGTGCACATTATCATCCCACCTGTGTTTTTGTAAAATGCCCGGAAAGAAAATGTTCAAAGTGGTGTTTTGGGATTTTGCTAGTGTAATTAACATTTTCTTCTTTAAACATTACTGTATTTTTCCAAACCACCTATAATACTTTTTCAAAACAAACAAACTTTATAGGAAGGACAAAATAATTTAATTCCTTTTAAGTGCGGATTGAAAAAGTATTGCCCCAAATAACTGTGGGCATAGAGGTCCTGCCATATACATTGAAAGTGCCTGGGGAGGGATGAAAATGTCTTAACTTTCTCAGCCACTGCAAGTTGCATGTTCATAGTAGTTCTTGGTTGGGGGGCACCTTGAGGGTGGGAGAGAGAATAATGTATTTTCACACCTTTGTGCTTTGGGGTGTGAACTGGCCACAGAGGCCCTGGGCAGGCGACCAGGGAAAACGGAGCTGTCCCAGGCTGCTGCAGGGTTCCGCTGTGCTTCCAGGAAGAGATCCGTCTGGAAAAACTTCCCTCGCCCCGCTCACTTGTTCTTGCAGGAAACCGGACTCGAACGCCCCAAAGTGCGGAGCCCAGCCTCAGACCCGATACAGAAATGTCTGCTCCTTCAGGGGCTCAAGCCTGCTCCAGGGGTTTCCTCCCCAGCCGGGGGGCCGGCCCCGCTGGGCTCCCGGCTGCGGGGCTGCCAGGATCACTTTCCTTGGGATAACCCAGGGCCCGTTCCCATCCAGTTCCAGGGAGAACCACGCATTTGTTTACCTCAGTCACTCCCTCAAAGGACTCTGAACCTCGCTTCCTGAGGAGCCAGAGAGGGAGGAGTTGGCCGTCCAGCCGTTTCTCACCACACTCTCCTGTGGTCGGTGGGTGGGGCTTCCTGCCCGCGCAGGACCCCAGGACCCCGGCATCTCATGTGACAGTTTCCCTGCTGCGTTCATTGTGGAAGCCACAAGAAGGCCTCCACACATTTTCTGACAACCCCTGGGTGGTGCCACCCTCTGAAGACTCACCCCTCGATCCTAAACACACGCTCGTGGAGAAATCTGTATCTGGGACAGCAGGGAGGTTGGCCTTAAATGGCCAAGCCATTCCATGTTGTTTCCAACCAAATTAGCCAAAGGAAAACTCCCTGTGTTTTCACCTCTGATCAGCTGACACACCTAGAAATGTATTTTTAAACAATGTTTGCTAGGGAAGCCCTGGAGTCTTGTGTTCCTGAAGTGGAACCAGTCATCTTGTTGACCAGTGTGGGGCAGCAGAGGACGGGCCAGGAGAGAGGCTGTTTCCATGTTCCGAAGCCCAGGGGGCTGACCCACGGGGAGATGAAACCTTTCAGCCAGGGCAACTGGGCCGGGTAGGGGTGAGTGTGGCCACGCCCGGGCCTGTGGGGAAGGCTGAGCTGGGTGGGGAGGGTCCGCTCTGACCCAGGTCAGCACCAAGTGCTTTGTGGGTAGTGGGTGCTGGAGCCTTTGCTACTGTCTGGGAAAGCCCTCCAGCCACATCTCTTCCCAACTGTGTGTCCCTTGCCGCCACATTGGGGGCTTGAAATCAGCCACGGTGGCAGGTTTTTAACAACTGTTAAAATCAGGGCTGTTTCCCCCTGCAAGAGGGTTGGCCAGCACACCATTGCTTTGGGGGTCTCTGGAAATCCCCAGGGTCACACCTTGGGTTTTAGGTACAACCCTCTCACCAAAAAAAAAAAAAGAGGGTGCTTGTTATGATGGGGGAGGGTTCAGTTAGATTTTATTGCATCCATTTCACTCTCGGTGCAAGTCCCATTCTTAATCTGATTTTTAAACTACTCCTTTCAGGAGGTTTGGAGAGTTGGCTTATTTTTATTTTGATTATCCTCCTGATCAGATTTTTCATAAGCTGATATTAAAAGTAATTGATTTCCCTAAGCCCAAGACTAGACAGTGAGAAAGGTGCCCAGGAATATTTGGAAAAGAGGACAAAGTTGGGAATTTGCCCAGAATTTAAAATTCACAAGTAAGCTTCATTTGCATAATTAAGCATTGCTACTCCATCAGCACTGGGTCTTAATTTCTGCCTGTCACCTCTCTGTGTATTTATCTGGCTTTCCCAGATTGCCGGGGGCTCTCCCCGCCAATAGGGGTGTTTAGTCAAAGAGCAAAGCCGAAACCAAATAATATTCTTTGAAAAGACATTCACAAGCCAGGCCAGTGCGGCTCAGTGGGTTGAGCGTTGTCCCATGGACTGTCCCGGTCAGGGCACATGCCCAGGCTTCGGGCTCAATCCCCAGTAGCAGGCGTGCAGGAGGCAGCCGATTGATGTTTCTATCTCTTCCTTCCTCTCTCTATAAAATCAATAAAAAAGCATATTTTTATAAAAGGTATTTACAGTGTCTACTATATGCCAAGAACTGTTCCAGGTACCAGAGAGATCACAGTGAACAAAAGAGACAAGGCTCAGCCAATGTACAAAAAAGAAAAATGCAAGATAGGAGTTGGCAAATGATGGCCTGTGAGCCAAACTGACCCACCACCTGTTTTTGTAAATGAAGGTTTACTGAAACACAGCCATACCCCTTCACCTAGACTGTTGTCTATGGCTGGTTTCTAGATACCTGGGAATCCCAACAGAGACCACCAGGCCCTTTACAGAAAGGTTTGCTGCCCCCTGGTGTAAGTGCAGGGGATTTAAATAGGCTGGAATGAAAGAAGGTAGGGGCTGGTGGTGGCAGGTACTTTCCACTGACTGGTCAGGGAATTCCTCTCTGAGGGCAACATTTAAACCAATACCTGAAGGACAAGAAATAGGAGGCAGCCAGAAAGGGTTGGTGGAAAGCAGAAGGAATAACAAGTGCAAAGGGCCTGGGGCAGTAAAGAGTTGTGTGTGTCCCAGGAAACCAACCAAGGAGGAAGGTTGATGGGGCTGGCTGGGGAGCCTTAGCACAGTGGTCTGGGCAGAGAATGATGCCTGGGACCATCCGATCAGAGATGTAGGCCAGGCTTGGTAGAGAGATTGGGGTGGTTCAGGTGTATTGAGCTGGTGGGAGCAAGATCTGACTTAGGGTTTAGGTAGTTACCTCTGACTGCTCAGAGGGTCCAGACAGAGGGTGATCCCAGTGGCCAGGTGAGATATGAAGGTGCTTGGACTGAGGTTGTCAAGGCCCAATTCCTTTGTGCAGGAATACAAATGGAGGCTCACATTACTTTGCAAATACTTAAAGTATATGATTAAAGCTTACAGAGAGGTTTTGTAGCTCCTGTTAAATATAGGCTATTGATGGAATTTTGTGCTCCCCCTCCAAAGAAATCGGTATTCTGTCGTCTCCAGAGCCTCTCTGCATCAAAACCTTAGCCTGCATTGTTGACCACACACTCTTAGGTTGATGGAAGCTGCATTGCTGGGGAGACCCCTGCTGCACCATCTAGTGGTGAAACGTGATACTGCAGCACCCACCCCCTGGGGGGAGAGTTCTGAAACTTCTGTCTGTCCTACACATCTTTATAAAATTCGGTTGTATTCCGATTCTCCAAGATTTTTAGTGAGCACAAGGAGGGATCATCCTGCAGGGTGTGAAGCTAGATTTCCTTAAAAAGGAGAAGACTCAAGTCTTTTTGTTTTTCCTGGTGTTTCAAGATTATGGCGGATTCTGTCAGTCTTCATAGAGAACAGTCTCTTGATTTATCTTCTCAAAGACAAGGTGGAGTGTGGATCAATCCCAGCCAAGGCCATCAGCTCCTGGTGGGGGGGAAAGGGAGGGGCTGGGAGTTGTGCAAAGGTTCTGGGCAGAGGAAAGGAGGGAGGTGGGATATCTGTGGTCCTTTTAGTCTACAAAATCCTTTTCTCCCTGCAATCCTTCATCCCCACTCCAATGGAGAGAGAGAGAGAGAGAGAGAGAGGTCATCTAGAATTCAGGACATCATCAAAGCTGAGCTGTGGGTCTAGCAAAGCAGTATTTTCTTGGAGAAAAAAAAGATTTCTTGAGGACAGTTATTATTTGAGGAACGGCATGTGAGCTTGTAACGGACTCAGACAAGCGCAGCCCCCTCGGACGGCGACTCACAGTTTCTGGTCTCTTGCCCCCACAGCTCCCAGGAAGATGCTAACAGGCCCGCAGTCCGAGTTGTTTGCTTAGGAGAAGAGGTGCTGGAATGAGGTGCGCCCTTTGGGAAAGTCCAGAGCAGGCAGGGCTGTTCTCATTCTGTTTGCCTTTTTGTAGCAATGACTCATAAATCTTACTTTACACTGAAATTCAACGTTGCAATGGACACGTTGCACTAATGGAGTGTCTGTCTTCTGAGCGGGACGAACTGGAAACCGCCTTCCTTGGACAGACGTTCTCAGTGCTTGTGACTCACTCCCACAAACCCTCACCTCGCACATCTTTGTTTATCCCTGCCCCCCTTTCCTGCCTCTGAGGAGCCCCCCCTCCCTGAAGGGCGGCAGTGGTGGAAAGAAGACCTGGTGTTGAGTGCTGTCTGTGCCCGGGAAGTCCCGTGGCCTCTCTGAGCCTCGGTTTCCTCATCTGAAAGGGAGCGTGACCACATCAACCACACAGGTTTCTCCGAGGTTTAAATAAGCAGTGTGAGTGACAGCACAGGTAAGCTGGAAGGTGTCCTACACGAGACAGTAATGCTGCAGACCGGAAAGTCTTGGGTCTCCACTCTCCCGGATGCTGAAGAAAAAAATAATTCACGACCCTTATTAAGGACTGTAAGAGACAGACTGGGGGTCCTGGGCGTATCTCATAGCCCATGCAGGGATGTTGAGGAAGCAGGAGCCCTGGCCGGTTTGGCTCAGCGGTTAGAGCATCAGCCTGCGGTCCAGAGGAAGCAGGAAAATAGGATGTTTTAATGATCATAAACTCAACAGGATTCTTGCTGTGGGCAGGCCAAGTGATCCGCTATCAAAGGTGGGGGTGAGCAATTTGATCAGCCTGGGAGAAGGAATTGTCACCAAACTAATCCACAGGATTCTTGCTAAAATTGGACTAACTGGGCTAAGGACAAGCCCAAGGTCAAGACCTTGAGGGCTCAGAGGACCTTACTAGAGTTAGGACAAGTAGTCTTTGTCACCAGCTGCCTCTCTCCTCTTGCCTCTGTCTGTGGCTGGCCCGGAAAGCAGACAGATTGCAGCGGCTTCTGGCCACCACCGCCCAGTGTGGAATTTGAAGGAGTGAGAGCGAAGTCGTGAGCAGCGCTGAGCACAGAGAGGACTCCTCAGTGCACGGGAACAAGCCAGCCTTGGTTCAGAGAGGCTTCTGGAAGCATGCTGGGGCAGCATTGTCCGATGGTGCCATGTTCAAGTCTCATCAGAGTGGAAGGGCTTGTGAAACTCCTGCAGAGAAGAAGACTGTGCCCTCGATCCTCCCCACGGGACGGATGAGTTTGACGTGTTGGCCAAAGTGGCAAGATCCACAGGACAGGACACAGACACAATGAGCTCTAGGCTCATTCCTCGCGCGGCGCACCCAGAATCTGGTGATGGGATTAAAGCTGGAGCAGGTTTTCTGCCTTTCCTCTGTCTCAGGAGTAGCAGACACTGGCTTCACACAAAGCTCTGTGTGTGTTAGGTAGGAAGTTGTGTCACGAAATAGGTGGAGAACTCATTAGTCTGTTCCCTGAGATACTCAGAACGGGAGGTGATGCTCACGGGACACTGACGGCAGTTCCGAGGCTCACCGTACGTGCAGGTGTGAGCGGGGTGGGCTGATTTATTTATTTTTATTTTATTATTATTATTGTACGTGCCCCTAGCGGGAACCGAACCTGGGACTCTCTGGTCCGCAGGCCCACACTCCAACTGCTGAGCCAAACCGGCCAGTGCATGGGCGGGCTGATTTAAAGGGAAGATAAAACGACAGGTTTTGAAGATTAAGTTAAAATGAGGGAAGGTAGATTTGCTTCAGGACATCATGGGCTTATCTGCAACAGTAAACAGCATCGAGGAGATACCCAGCACCCCTTTTCTTCCAACATGGTCGGCACTACCCCAATAAGTTGCTATCTCAGAATAGTACCTTTTCAGCTTCTGTGCCGACTTGCATGATAATTCAAGGAAATTGCTGGCAAAATAGCCCAGCCTTTTCTGTCCTCTACAGCGCTTTGTCTTTGAGGTTAGAAGAAGAAATCAGAGTAAGAACAATCTCATGTTCTATAGATAACTGTCCAAGCCATGGTTTCTAGCCCTAGCCAGTTCAACATCGTATAACAAACATTTAGTGATGTATTCTTTAGCCTCCTGAAATGAAATTCATGGATAACAACATACCTACTCAGATCATTTTAAAAGATTAATAGAGGCCTGGTCAGTGTGGCTCAGTTGGTTGAGTATCATCCCATGCACCAACAGGTTACTGGTTCGATTCCTGCTCAGGGCACATGCCCAGGTTGCAGGCTCGATCCCCGGTAGGGGGTGTGCAGGAGGGAGCCGATCGATGTTTCTCTCTCTCCCTCTTCCATCCTCTCTCTCTCCAAAATTAATAAAAACATATTTTAAAAGATTAATAAAATTCCCTAACCATAATATAACAAATACATTGAAGAAAAGTATTTACAGTAAAATATAGAGTTTCATTATGTAAATGCTGGGGCACAGGGCAGGGGGGTGTGGTGAAGTCAGCAGATACTCTGACCCATGCACAGAATCACTGAGCCAACGCCTGCAGGTGCTCGGGGATATCAGAGGGCTGGCAAGGCAACTCAAACACTGCTGGCATGATTTTCAGAAATGCAAGGACAGAGCTCATGAAAAATCAGAATTACACATACATATATTTCCACCAATTTATAAAATAGTTGCATTCGTGGAAAACTCAGTATGTATTAAACCATGCCCCCTCCCTGCTCCCCCAAGTCCCTCTGGGTTCTGTGTAAAATGGTGCAGTTAAGTCCTAAGCTCAGATGTAATAAACAGGTAACTTCCTGTATAAATGCTCAGCAGACACTCAGAAGTCAGCCCAGGAAAATTCTTAATGCTCAGGACATTGTGTATACACATTGGGGCACCTCAGACCCCCACCAGTAGCATCCCCAACAGGAACTAAAAGTGTCTCTGGAAATGCCCACTAGGGGGCAGCGTTGCTCTATTGAGAAAGAGGGATCACACTTTATCAATAGAAAATAGGGATAGGAACTTGGGAGCCTTCAGGAGAGTTGTGAGTTTGTTATTTGAGCTTGTTTGGTCGTTCATGGGAAAGGGTGACGGTAGCTCAGCAGAAAATTTGTGCCTCCCAGGATTCAGAACTGGAAGCAATGGCCCGGCCAAGTCTGAGATTACACTGAGACAGGAAGGCACTTACCTCTGAAATGCTCTTGCGTGGTTCCCTCTGAGTTAAGCCATCTGTACCACACCTCTGTACTGAACATCCTGCCTGAGCCAGGTGCTGGTACCATCTCTCCTGTCAAGTCTACTCCTAGTCTAGAGTGAGAGAGCTTGATGCAATAACCCTGCAGTCTGGTGTGGTCCTGACGGAGAACCACGTGTGGGCCTGAACCTGCCAGGGAGGAAGAGTCCAGGTGAGATCTCGGCAAGATAGGCCTCATGGGGTGCATGGAAGCTAACAGGCTAGAGTAGGGGGATCATCCTGGGTAAGAGATGGAACCTGCCTCAGGCTGCATGTTAAAACTCCAGCAGGTCCTTGTCACAGAGCAGGAAGCCAGGCTGGGGAGGGGGAAGTGAGGCTGGCACACGAGACAGCATGGAGCAGGGTGGCATGATTGATGTTCCACTCTGTAGACCTCGAGGTACATTCTCTGGGTGCACTGAGCATTTTGCCAACACCGTCCCATCCGAAGCACTCGTGTTACAGTTGATGTCAGTGTCCACATGTCTGCATCTCCCCAAGGCCATGGGTCTGGGGCGGGTCTAGACATTCCTATGCCCAACACTGCGTAGCATATGGGAGGCCCTCATTAATGTTTACGGATGAATGAATGAATATGTGAGAAAGTGGAAAGGTTGCTGTGTCCCCCAGCTCCCTCCCCATGATTTAGCTTTCTACCTCATGAAGCCCTTCTTCTCTTCATCTGGAGTCATCAGTGTCCACACAGAGGAGCAGGTGCCCGGGGCCCCTCTCACAGGGCTGACCCTGCTTCACAGGAAGCGCTCCGCCCACTCATTATGCCTCCAGATGCAAATCGACAAATCCTAGAGAGAGCACAGATTGGTGGTTGCCAGGGGCTGCGCAGAGAGGGGGGTGGGAAGTGACTGCTAATGGGTGCAGAGTCTCCTTCTGAGTGATGAGAATACTCTGGAACTAGGTAGTGGTAGTAGTTGTACAATAATTAAATGTACCTAGCCCTGGTCAGTTTGGCTCAGCGGTTGAGCATCAACCTGCGGACCAGAGAGTCCCAGGTTCGGTTCCTGCCAGGGGCACGTACCACAAAAAATAAAAATCAATTAAATGTACTTAAAAGCCTCTGAATGGTACACTTTAAAGTAGTTAAAGAGGTGAATTCTAGCCCAGCCAGTGTGGCTCAGTTGTTGAGCACTGACCCAGGGACCAAGAGGTCACCAGTTTGATTCCCGGTCAGAGCACATGCTTAAGTTGTGGGCCTGATCCCCAGTGGGGGGCAAGCAGGAGGCGGCCGAGCAATGTTCTCTCTCATCAATATTTCTGTCTCTCTCCCTCCCTTCCTTTCTCTCTAAAAATCAATAAGAAATATATTTTAAAAAGAGGTGAATTCTATGTAGAACCTTCTCTCCTGTGACTAACAGGTCCTCTTTCATCTGTGCTCAGGATACACACCGAGGACTCTTCATCCAGCAACTTCGACCCACACAGAACCTGCAGCCAAGAATCAAACTGAAGCTGTTCGGCCACTCGGGCTCTGGGAAAACCACCCTGGTGGAGTCACTCAAGTGTGGGCTGCTGAGGAGCTTCTTCCGGAGACGCCGGCCCAGACTCTCCTCCACCAGCTCCACCAGGTTCCCGCCGTCGCCCCTGGCTTCCAAGCCGGCAGGTAGGTGCCTCTCCCTGCCCCTGGCCCTCCATCAGGTGCTTACCCTGTCAGGGTCTAGGATGAGTGGTGGCGTTGTTGCGGTCACTTGGTCCCAGGCTGACTGGTCCACGCCTTGGTGGCCTTCAGGTGTGGTCTAGCCGGCTATGGGCCTGGTGTCACCCTCCCGTAGCCCAGCGTTGCAAGCTGTCCTGCAATAGCGAGGAAAGGGCCTCGCTGAAGTCACGGTCACAGATACAGACGTTCACAGTGACAGCTGTGCGAACAGCAGAATTGTGTGTCTACCCAGGGCTGCCCCTGCACTCAGAGAACCTGGACTAATACTGCCCCGGATCGCACAGACCGAGGATTGGCCCCCGATGTCCTCACCCATGCTTGCTTCTCGGAAGGCTGCAAGGACACCTAGGAATTTGCGGACGTAGAGCAACAAACTTAGGTTCACATGGGATCACCGTCCTGCACATTCAGAGTTGTCGGAGGTTTTGAAGGGTTCCTTACTGGTTTCCGCATGACCTCCAGGGAAGCAGGCTCTGCTGTCTTCCCCTACCTTCCTCAGACACAGTTACCTTTGGATTCACATCCAGAACTTCAGGGTCGTCTGCCCTTCCCCAGGGAGAAACACCCTCAGTGAGCAAGAGGGAAGAGTGCAATCTGGGGGTTATGTCTCCGGAACCCCACTTTAGAGCAAGGGACTTATGTTTCACTAAGATAAGAACAGAGACCTTCCAGGATTTTCCTAAACAACGTCAGTTTTGAAGGCTCGTACCTCAGGTTCCTTTTCTGTCCATCACGTCACAAGGACGTCGTATCTATTCCCCAGGTTGAAAAGAAATGTTTACAGTTTGGGTTCCTATGTAATTCTCTCCGCAAGGAAGGAGGTCTGAGCATCAGTGCAGGGGGACAGTTGGCTGAGATTTGTATGCCCCTTTCAGCTTGTCTCTAAATACAGCAGAAACTTGGAGGAAATAAATAACCAAAATGGACTTTTCATTAGAATGATTATAAAGTTGCTAGCTCGTATCGCTAACACTTATCAAGCACTTGCTGTGTGTGGAACTGGGCAAAATGTGGATGTTTGAAACTTCATTTCATCCACGAGACAGGATTAGGGGGTGTTTTTACCACCACTTTACAGAAGCCTTGAGGGGTCAGGTAGGCTGTCTGGGGTCCCCCAGCAGGCAGCTCACCGAGTGTCTGGCTCCTGAGCCAGAGCTTCTTACTGACACAGCCTCTGAGTGAGGACTTTCGTGTGCACACATTTTCCATTGCTGCTATAATTGTGCCAGTGTTCCTAGTCCAAGGTCAGCTTCCCTGGCAGTCACGGTGTCACCCTGGTGGGAGCCAGGCCAGCTCTCTTGCTGTGGGTTAAGGTCACTCCAGACCAGCACTCTGGATGCCCATGAGATGCCCGCGTGGGCACATTTATCAGCAAACAGCAGGAAGCTTGTTTGCCTTAAGAAAGTTGGCCCTTGGTGTCACGTCTCCCGAAAACACGAAGCTAAAGGCTGAGCCACCAGCCAGGAGACGGGACCAGGAGGCAGCCTTTCTTTCCTCCCAGCCTCTCCAGTGCCTCCCACTGGCTGACCCGAACCAGCAGTAAATGGCAAGCAACCTGGGAGTCCGTGGGCACAGGGGCATGGAGGGTGGTGCAAACAGAAAGAATCAGCCCAACATCTCCAGGAAGTGTTGCTGCACTGCACCCAAGGTGCGCACACAGCCCCGCCGGAAGCGGGAGCAGGTGGGGACAGGGAGCGGCCTGGGAAGGACTAAGCGTGAGCGAAGGCGGGAGGCAGAGCGAGGCGCACGCTGCCCGGTGCAGGCCTCACCCGTCTCCTCCGCCCACAGTCTCCGTGAGCATCAGCAACCTGTACCCGGGCTGCGAGAACGTGAGCGTGCGGAGCCGCAGCATGATGTTCGAGCCGGGCCTCACCAAGGGGGTGCTGGAAGTGTTCGTGGCCCCGTCCCACCACCTGCACTGCTCCGCCGATGACCAGTCCACCAAGGCCATCGACATCCAGAACGCCTACTTGAACGGTAGGTCCCGCCCAGCGCAGAGGGGAAGGACTTCAAGCGCCTGTCCCTTTGCTGGGGTTTTGAGTGGTTTTCCTAAGAGATCCTGTGAGGTGGGCATCCGTCACAGCCCCACAAGGGACAGAGGGAGAGCCAGTGGAGATGTAGGAAGTGACCCAGGACTGAAGCAGGGCTGGTTAATACTCCTAGAAAGTAAAGCTAAACACCATGCTTTCCTCTGCTCCTTGCAAAGCACCAGGCACACAATAGGTGCTTAATAAATGACTGTCCAGTAAATTAATACTTTTTTTAGTTGATTGATTGTTTTGAGAGAGAGAGAGGGAGAGAGGGAAACATTGATGTGTTGTTCCACTTATTTATGCACTCATTGGTTGATTCTTATATGTGCCCTGACTGGGGATCGAACCCACAGCCTTGGCATACAGGGACGATGCTCTAACTGACTGAGCTACTTGGCCAGGCCTAATACATCCACTTGCATGGGAAATCTCATAAAATACAATCCCTCTAACAGTTTCATACCTAATATAGAAAAATTATTTTTAAATACATCTTTATTGATGGCTAGTGCTTTGATATAGACACAGGCAATTTTTATTTCATGAGCAATTTCAAGTGTGTTCTTGCTCTCAAACATTTCCAAGGGGGTGACACTGTAACTGTTACCAGGGATGGTTTACTTTCTCCATCCACCACGGCCTCTTCCCTGAAGCACACCGGGGCTCCAGGGACCCCAGCCACTTGAACACGAGCACCCGCCTTGTTGAGACCCGGTTTAGAATGAGGATATAGCAGTTTCTCTGAGATTCATTTCCCTCTCCATGAAGGTGCTATGAGCTGATGTTTATTAAAGGGCCTGGTATAGCATCTGGCACAGGGAGGCATTCAGAAAATGGCGATTTATGAAGGCCTTTTTATCATCCTGAACCCAGGAAGAAATAGACTGTTCCATGTGCGTGACCTGAAGCAGTAGTCCTTTTTTTTTTTTTAATTCTCACCTGAGAATATTTTTCCATTGATTTCTAGATAGAGCGGGAGGGGGGAAGGAGAGAGAGAAATTGATGTGAGAGAGACACATCGATCGGTTGCTTCCTGCACAACCCAACCGGGGCCAGGGATCGAACATGCAACCCAGGTGTGTGCCCCTGACTGGGAATCAAACCCCTGACTCTTCAGTCCACGGGCCGATGCTCTGACTGCTGAGCAAACTGGACAGGGCCAAAGCAGTGGTTCTTAACCCTTGCACCTGGATCCTCGGGAGGGCTGGTGAAAACAGACTCCCAGCCCCTGCCCCAGAACTTGTAATCGTCAGATCTGGGGGTTCCCAGGTGATGCTGCTGCTAGCGGTTCAGGAACCCCATTTGCAGAACCACTGGCCCAAATAGAATAGAATTAAAGTCCATGCACCTTTTGCTCTCTGGGAAGTTGAATGATCTCCGGGCAAAGCTGGCCCTGCAGCACGGAGGAAGGAGGAGGGTGTCCTCAGCACTCGCCATCCCTCCCCTCGCCCTTGCTCCTCCACGGGCTTCCTCCCCAGCCCCAGTCTGGTTCCTCGTGCTCAAAGGGGCCCCTTCCTGTGGTCCAGAACTTTTCACGCTACGGCCTGAGCTGCCGAACTTTGAGGGTCGTGCCCCCAAGAGTGCCTGTGCTCCAAGAGGTGGCCCTAGAAAAGCCCCGGGGACCTTCCAGAAAGACGTAGGCCTGCATCATAAAGATATGTCGGCATCACGGTATCGATCTATACGGAGATGCACTGACATACGGATAAAGGTGGCGCTGTCCCTGCGGGCAGCCCCGAGGTGCCAGAGAAATCGCGACTGCAGTTTGGTGGTGGCGTTTCGTGGTCATCGTCTTTATTTCTCTCTGCAGGAGTTGGCGATTTCAGCGTGTGGGAGTTCTCTGGAAACCCCGTGTACTTCTGCTCTTATGACTATTTTGCTGCAAATGATCCCACATCAGTCCATGTCGTCGTTTTCAGTCTAGAAGAACCTTACGAGATCCAGCTGAATCAAGTGATTTTCTGGCTCAGTTTCCTGAAGTCTCTTGCTCCAGTTGAAGAACCCATAGGTAAGCTGAGGCACCCCGGTGAGGAGCCCTTCCCGCTGGCCCGCGGCCCCGCCAGCTCGGCGCCTGCAGCCTGTGGCCGGCAGCTGCGGCTCCCTGTGCTCTTCCTTCCTGCCGGAGGTTCCCACTCTGGGAGCTCCCTGAGGGTCAGCTGCGCATTTTGTTCTCCAGGGAGTTGTTTCATGATCACATATGTCTGCCCCAAAGACCTGATCCTGAGCTATTATTCCTTGAGGGCCACTTCTCCCTTTCTATATTTCAGAGCCGTGGTCACTTTTGTTGCGTGCAAAGCGATAGCTACTGCGCCTTTACCTCTTGGGTACATAATTCGTAAGCAGCGTGAACTCTCCTGCATTCTGTCGTTCCATCAAAATGCAAGAAAAAGGACCATACCGACTGAATGCATTATCTTGACTATCCCAGAGGAGAAGATAGCGTTGTTCTTTTCCACAACAAAAGCAGCAGCCTTCTCTGGTGAAATAAAAAACTCAGCAATGTTTCCTTTGAAAAGTGTATACACAATCAAATAAACTGAGTTTAATCCCCTGCAAGATACCATCACTTTATCTCTGTTTCTCTCTGTCTCTCTTTTTCCCTTCATGTTTTTGTCTTAAACACTCGCAGAAGCGAGAGGCTGTCTGTGTGACTCAGTTTCCCTCGAGCTATTTCTGTGGTGGTGCTGCATTCGGAGGGCTTTCTTTGGTCTTGTGAAGGGTGGCCCCCTGGTCAGAGGTTAGATCTCCCCTCATCCTGCAACAGGGCCCATTTGGAGAGCGATTTGAGAAGCTGCCTGTGTTCTGTGGTCGGCTCTGGTCCATTTCTGAACAGTTTTCCTCAAGGCCCAGAAAACAGGCTCATTCTGTGGTTGGCAAGACCTGGGGCCCAGAGGTTATACGCACAGCGGGCACGGACCTCAGGCAGGCTGTGCACCGTCCTGGAGGGAGAACCTGGGCCTGAGGCCCGCTCCCCGCACCTCACCTGGGGAGGACAGGCAACCAGGACCCACCTCTGAACTGTTCTCTCTCTGCCCCAGCCTTTGGCGGCAAGCTGAAGAACCCACTGCGCGTTGTCCTGGTGGCCACCCATGCCGACATCATGAATGTTCCTCGTCCTGCTGGAGGCGAGTTTGGCTACGACAAAGACACCGCGTTGCTGAAAGAGATCAGGAACAGGTGAGGGCAGCCGCTGCGTCCCCCAGGGTCACACAGCGGAGTCCTGCGAACTAGAGAGAGGGTTTAGAGAAATAAAGGCCTCTTTTCTCTGGTGGCCTTTCTGTTACATTTTCCATCAAAGCAATGAATACACGTAATAATGAATCAAACAGAAGTAAACAGCGCGGGATAAAAAGCAAGTCTTCTAACTTCTTTCGTCACCTCCTGGTCCCACTGCCTAGAGATAAGTTCTTTAGTTGTTTTAGGTTTGTTTGCTCTGACGAGGCTTCTGCTCTTCCCTCAGGTTTGGGAATGATCTTCACATTTCAAACAAGCTGTTTGTTCTGGATGCTGGGGCTTCTGGGTCTAAGGACATGAAGGTACTTCGAAATCACCTGCAGGAGATACGGAGCCAGATTGTTTCGGTGAGGATACCTGGGAAGGGCAGGAGCCCTACCTGTGCCCAGCCCATCAGTGACCCCGCGAGCCGGGCGTCTGTGCTGCCCTCTGGGTTTGGTTCAGGGGCCCAGGCGAGGGGGCTGCATGGACACGTGTTTACCTGAGAAAGGAGATGGCTGTGAGGGGAAGGAAGGGGTTGTTATGGACAGAGTGGACCACCTTAGAGTGTAGGGAATTCTGACCGTTTCAGTGGTTTGTTTAAAAGTAAAATTGCTTTTTACAAATTACAAAAGCAATTCAAAAGTGACTTGTGAAGAACCATGTGATTTCACTCATATGTGGGGTATAAAATAGAAAGCAACAGCCTGGCCAATGTGGCTCAGTGGTTGAGCATCAGCCCATGCACCAGAAGGTTACCAGTTTGATTCCCGGTCACGGCACATGCCCAGGTTGTGGGCTAAATCCCAGTGAGGGGCATGCAGGAGGCGGCCAATCGATGTTTTCTCTCATCATTCTTTCTCTCTTTCTCTCCCTCTCCCTTCCTCTCTCTCTAAAATCAATAAAGAAAAAATATTAAAACAGAAAGCAACAAATGAACAAACAAAACAGACTCATAGACACAGCAGAAGGGTGGTTACCAGAGGGGAAGGGAGTTGGAGGAGGATGAAGAGGGTAAAGGGGGTCAGGCTTATGGTAACATGATAATAGCAGGGGTGGGGAACTAGGCTTGAGGTGGTGAGCACACAATGCAATATACAGATGATATATTATAGAATTATATACTTGAAACTTACATAATGTTATTAACCAATGCTACTCCAATAAACTTAGCACGTTGTTTTTTTTTAATCCTCACCCGAGGACATTTTTCCATTTTTTTGTTCAGGTAGAGTGGGAGGGAGAGAGAGGAACAGAGAGAGAGAGAGAGAAACATCGATGTGAAAGGGACACATCGAGTGGCCGCCACCCACACGACCAACCAGGGCCGGGGACACACCGCAACCGAGGTACATGCCCTTAGCGGGAACCGAACCCGGGTCTCTCAGGACCGCAGATGTCGACGCTTTAACTGCTGAGCCAAATCGGCCAGGGCAAACTTAACACATTTTTTAAAAATATAATGATACCCAAAAAAGTGACTTGTGAAATATTTTTAAAATGTTGAAAAGTAGAAAAAAGTCACCAACACTTATTGAAGAGCATAAAATAATAAATGTCATCCAAGAATATATTCTTGGATGTATTCTTGGATGACAAGGTCTTAGTACATGTTTCACTTTCCCAAATTATGTAAATTAATACAGTTCCAGGTAGCATCTGAATGGAATTGAGGGGACTGGGATTTTTTTGTTTTGTTTTGTTTTTATCCTCACCTGAGGACTTTTTTTTTTTGCATTTATCTTCAGATAGAGTGAGAGGGAGGGAGGGAGGGAGGGAGGGAGGGAGGGAGGGAGGGAGGGAGGGAGGGAGGAAGGGAGGAAGAGAGAGAGCAAAACATCGATGTGTCTCTCTCACATCGACTGGTTGCCACCCACACGACCATGACCAGGGCTGGGGACAAACTGCAACTGAGGTACGTGCCCTTAGCGGGAACCGAACCTGGGACTCTCCAGTCCACAGGCCGACGCTCTGACCGCTGAGCCAAACCGGCCAGGGCGAGAGAGGACTGGGTTTTTTATCTTAAAATTCATAAGGCATCTAGCACAACTGGCTATATGCCTAGAAAGAAATATGTTTAAACTAGTCACTGTGTTGCCCAAAAATAAATTCTTGGCCAATTAAAGCTTTTAAATGTAAAACAAAACAATATCTTTAATGGAAATGTACGAGAATGGAAATTAAAATAACTTGGGACCAAAAAAAAACAAAAAACAAAAAATAAAGTTTGGGACTGCTTTGCTACATCTTTCAGATGCAGATAGAACACCCCGGAAGTTGTCAAAGAAAATATACCTATTTGCCAACATAAAAGTTAAATTTCTTTTTCTGGCAAACAAATTCTGTAAACAAAGTTAAAAGGCGAGGTAGACTGGGGGGAATATTCTCAGTGGGTTTGACGAAGAAAAGGCTATCATCCACAATATTCAAAAAGGTCTCTGAAACTGGTGCGGGAAGGGCACCTAGCCCTGACGTGTTCCTGCTGCCTGCTCCCCAGAAACAAGGGGTGTGCCTCCCCGCCCCTGCCAGACCCGTGCCCCTGCAGTTACAGCTTCCTGCTCCCGGTGCCCCCAAGGCCACACGCCCTCTTCCGGCACCAGCTCCACTTCCCCATGCTCTCACAGTCCTCAGGGACCCTCTCTTCCCTCCCAGAGCCCGGCCCCCAAGGCCACGCGCCCTCTTCCAGCACCAGCTCCACTTCCCCATGCTCTCACAGTCCTCAGGGACCCTCTCTTCCCTCCCAGAGCCCGGCACCCAAGGCCGCACACGCCCTCTTCCAGCACCAGCTCCACTTCCCCATGCTCTCACAGTCCTCAGGGACCCTCTCTTCCCTCCCAGAGCCCGGCCCCCAAGGCCACGCGCCCTCTTCCAGCACCAGCTCCACTCCCCCATGCTCTCACAGTCCTCAGGGACCCTCTCTTCCCTCCTGGAGCCCGGCCCCCAAGGCCACATGCGCCCTCTTCCAGCACCAGCTCCACTTCCCCATGCTCGCACAGTCCTCAGGGACCCTCTCTTCCCTCCCAGAACCTGGCCCCCAAGGCCACGCGCCCTCTTCCAGCACCAGCTCCACTCCCCCATGCTCTCACAGTCCTCAGGGACCCTCTCTTCCCTCCTGGAGCCCGGCCCCCAAGGCCACATGCGCCCTCTTCCAGCACCAGCTCCACTTCCCCATGCTCTCACAGTCCTCAGGGACCCTCTCTTCCCTCGCAGAGCCCGGCCCCAAGGCCACGCGCCCTCTTCCAGCACCAGCTCCACTTCCCCATGCTCTCACAGTCCTCAGGGACCCTCTCTTCCCTCGCAGAGCCCGGCCCCAAGGCCACGCGCCCTCTTCCAGCACCAGCTCCACTTCCCCATGCTCTCACAGTCCTCAGGGACCCTCTCTTCCCTCCTGGAGCCCGGCCCTTGCTTCCTGGAGGGGCCTCGGAGGAACCGGTCACAGAAACCACTGATCGAGAACAGTGGTCTGGGAAGGGTTCCCTGTGCCTCCACACCAGGTGGGATTAGGGCCTGGGCCCCCAGGGCTTGGGAGTCCCCCAACTCCCAAGTTCAGGCCGTTGGAATTTGCCTTTAGCCCTGGGAATTTGGGGTTTTTTCTACTAGGGAATGCAATTTAGCTGATCTAAAAGCTGTGACCCACGAGGGGCCTGCCTCATGAATGATGCCGTGCCGTGTACGGCTGGTGTGGTTTTTCATCAGGGAGGTTGGTGGAGTAGACGAGTCTGTAACATAGACTGATTTACTCAACCAATTTAAAAGATTAAAAACCTATTTCAAGCCAATTACCAAGAATTCATCTAAATTGAAATTGTATTTCAACAACAGTCCCAGTGAATATCCAGTGTCCTCCTGAGTCACCCCCAGCTGTCAATTGACCTGTCCACCTGCATGTTCTAGGTCTGCCCCCCGATGACTCACCTGTGTGAGAAAATCATCTCCACACTACCTTCCTGGAGGAAGCTCAATGGGCCCAACCAGCTGATGTCGCTGCAGCAGTTCGTGTATGACGTGCAGGATCAACTGAACCCCCTGGCCAGTGAGGAGGACCTCAGATGCATAGCCCAGCAGCTCCACAGTGCCGGCGAGGTGAGGCTCTGTGAGTCCAGGCAGGGGTCCAAGATGTATCAGAGTAATTGAGTTTGGGACCTTTGTTTCTTCAAATTTGAAGGTTAGGTATTAATTCCTTGAATGCTTAGTAGACTTCACCGGTGAAGCCTTCTAGTCTTGGAACTGTATTTGTTGGGAGTTTTTTTATTACTGATTGAATCAGGAAGAAGCAGAAAATCTGAACAGACTGATGACCAGAACAAAATTCAGTCTTGGAAAGCTCTGTTTCTAAGAATTGATCCATTTCTTCTAGGTTGTCAATTTGTTGGTGGATCATTGTTCATACTAGTCTCTTACCATCCTTTGTATGTCTGTGGTGTGGGTTGTCTCCTTCCTTTCTGATTTTATTTATTTGGGCCCTTTCTCTTGTTTTTCTTGATGAATCTGGCTAAAGGTTTATCTATTTTGTTTATCTGTTCAAAGAACCAGCTCTTAGTTTTGCTGGTCTTTTCTATCATATTTTTAGTCTCTATTTCATTTATTTCTGCTCTGTTCTTCATTATTTCCTTCCCTCTACTCACTTTGGGCTTTGTTTGTTTGTTTGTTTCTAGTTCCTTTAGGTGTAAGTTTAGTCTCTACCCTCCAATAATTTTCAGTATAAGGCTCAACTTTAAACAGAATTAGATACAGAAAGCATTTCAGTGATGAAATCAGACATGGGCAGAAAAGCACTCTTGGGGCAAACAGGTGCAGGCTCGGAGCCTCCATGTGAGACCAACATCCACTTTCAATCACCATTATTTGTAAAACTAGCCCAGAACAAGAAGGGAAGAGAGAAGGGGTAGGTAGGTGTTGCCTAAAGGGTAAGGTTGTTTCTATTTTTGTGACTTTTTTTTCTTTCTGACTTTTGCTTTTTAAAGAAATAAATGTGGCTGTAAAACAAAAGTCCCCTCTGACCATCACCTCTAGTTTCATTCCTCTCTTCCCCTCTCCAGGGCCAACCGTAGTCATGGCAGCACATCTTTCCAGGACTTTTTATGTGTATGAAAAATTTACAGTATCATGTAACATTCTAAACATTTTTTGAAAAATGACAAGCCTTCAGAGAAGTTACAAGAATACTACAACAAATCCTCGTATACTCTACACCTAAATTAACCAATCGTTTACATTTTGCTCCATTTGCTTTTCTCTCTTTCTTGTCTATTTATTCACTTATTTACTTTGCAAACATCATGACATTTCACCCCTGAAGAATGTAGCCAGTTATCTCCTAAAGAGAATGACCTTCTCAAGCTGGTTTTTTGGCTTAGTAATTGGTTTCTGAGATCCAGCTATAAGAATGATCTGAGTCATTCCTTGCAACTCCTGCTCAGATTTTGTCACTACTCCGGCCCTTTTGTTCTGAGTCGCTGGCAGCTCTGTTCATTTAGGTTCCTTTGTGTGATCTCTCGTCGTCCTCTCTGGCAGATCAACATCATGCAGAGTGAAACAGTCCAGGACGTGCTGCTCCTGGACCCCCGCTGGCTCTGCACCAACGTCTTGGGGAAGCTGCTCTCTGTGGAGACTCCACGGGCCCTGCACCATTACAGGGGCCGCTACACCATGGAGGACATCCAGCGCCTGGTGCCCGACAGTGACGTGGAGGAGCTGCTGCAGATCCTAGATGCCATGGACATCTGTGCCCGGGACCTGAGCAGTGGGACCATGGTGGACATCCCCGCCCTGATCAAGACAGACAATCTGCATCGCTCCTGGACAGACGAGGAGGATGAAGTGATGGTCTACGGTGGTGTACGCATCGTCCCCGTGGAGCACCTCACCCCCTTCCCGTGCGGCATCTTTCACAAGATCCAGGTGAACCTGTGCCGGTGGATCCACCAACAGAGTGCCGAGGGAGACGCAGACATTCGCCTGTGGGTGAGCGGCTGCAAGATTGCCAACCGTGGGGCCGAGGTTCTGGTGCTCCTGGTCAACCACGGCCAGGGCATCGAGGTCCAGGTGCGCGGGCTGGAGATGGAAAAGATCAAGTGCTGCCTCCTGCTGGACTCGGTGTGCAGCACCATCGAGAACGTCATGGCCACCACGCTGCCAGGGCTGTTGACTGTGAAGCATTACCTGAGCCCCCAACAGCTGAGGGAGCACCACGAGCCTGTCATGATCTACCAGCCGCGGGACTTCTTCCGGGCGCAGACCCTGAAGGAGACCTCGCTGACTAACACCATGGGTGGGTACAAGGAAAGCTTCAGCAGCATCATGTGCTTTGGGTGTCACGACATCTACTCACAGGCTAGCCTGGGGAGGGACATCCACGCATCGGACCTGAACCTCCTGACCCGAAGGAAACTCAGTCGCTTGCTGGACCCTCCCGATCCTATGGGGAAGGACTGGTGCCTTCTTGCCATGAACTTGGGCCTCCCTGACCTTGTGGCAAAGTACAACACCAATAATGGGGCTCCCAAGGAGTTCCTCCCGAGCCCAGTCCATGCCCTGCTCCGGGAATGGACCTCCTACCCCGAGAGCACAGTTGGCATCCTTATGTCCAAACTTCGGGAGCTGGGGCGCCGAGATGCAGCAGACTTTCTACTGAAGGCATCGTCTGTGTTCAAAATCAACCTCGATGGCAATGGCCAGGAGGCCTACGCCTCAAGCTGCAACAGTGGCACATCTTATAATTCCATTAGCTCGGTCGTGTCCAGGTGAGGGCAGCTTTGGCTTGGGCAGGGTATCTTCAAACGGCAAAAACAAGGGGGATGCAGCCCATCTTTCCCATCGGAGGGCCAGGTGCATCCCTTCCTATGCCCACCTACTGAAGGACACCGCCCTCCCTCCTGCCTCACATTTCTCTCCTGCTCCCTCCCTCTCCCTCCCTCCCTCCCTGTCGCACATTCCATTGTGTGTGAATGGCCTTCTCTAGTTTAAGAGCCGATCCTATCCTGTCCTTTGGCCATTTGCAAAGCTAGTGTCCCCCTTCTCCATGCTCTCTGGACTCCGCCTCTCAGCCTCTAGTACCTTGCTTCTTACTGATACTTTTACTGGCATTCCTAACTTTTCAATGAAAAAATTTTAACTATTATATTGATTGTCCTTTAAATAAAACGTGCACATTTATTCACAATGTGCATTTCATACTCTTTTCTTTGTTATATATCATGTCCTCAGCTTATCTTTTTTATATTTATAGGAAAATCCCTCATGTATGGACTCCCACTGTATGATTTATAAATAGACAATATGTGAGTGCCTTTTGCAGACGAGGTTGTGTTTGGAATCATCGAGTCAGCCAGGAGCTGTCACGAAGGAAATGTTCCCTCTCTGCTCCTTGCTGTAGGCTGATCATCGCCAGAGGTGCTTCACCCTCAGTTGTGTTTCGTTTTTCCGGCAATTTCTGTGTTTTATGTGGCGAGGAAAGGGGAGAAAGGAACCCTCCTCTAGAGCGATTTCATGGCCAGTGTTGTTGCTGCGATAAGACATGTATCCGTTAGCTTTTGTTTAAACGTCAGTGTGGACGTCCACCTGGAATCAGCGAACTGTGCCTCAGCGTCCCCTCGTCTCAGGTAGAAGGTCGGCTCGGTTGTAGGGCTGTGAAGATCTGTGCGAGATCCAAAACCCGACTCGTGGTTTGTGGCAGTCCCTTGTCATTTGTGCATAGCAGATGGTTTCCCACATTGAGATCCAGACTTGACAACTTCCTGTACTTGAAGTCTAAAAAAGAAAATAAAGGAAGCAAGTTTTCTTGCAGTGATTATTAAATTGTGATCAAGTTTTAAATTCATATGAGGGAACATATCCTAATTCTCCTGTCCTGAGAAGCATGTAATTTTAATGTTATATCATATGTGTGTGTGTGTGTGTATATATATATATATATGCAGTATGTATATACATATATATTAATACAAGTATTTTTACTTAATCTATATGATATAGTAAAAAAGTCATTTGTTTTCCTTTTTGTTTTTTGAGTTTTTTTTAAAATAAACTATTGCTTGTTGCATTAGTTTGTTGGTGTTTAATTCAAAAGGAATTTTTCTTTGCTTTGTTTTTACCCCCAATACCGCACCTGGTAGGACAGACCAATCTGAAATCCGGAAAGTCATTAAACCTAAACTCCCAGGTATGGAAAACAACCTAGAGTGTTTAGGTGCTTATTTATGACTGAAATTGGGAATGGTTTGGGGATGAAAAAGAGCCCATATAATTTTCACTCTTGTTCTCACTTTAAAGAAAACAGGCTCCTTCCATTTTCCTTTGGGTGAACCAAAAAAAAATCAAGTGGAATCATTTAGTCTCAGCAACAGGGAAACATAAGAAGCTTTCTATTTCTATACAGAGGGGGAGGGAATGGTTCCCTAAAGGAGCAAGAGAAAACCTACTGAAAAAGATACATAACTTCCTGCCTTTCTTTAAATATGGACCAACTACAAACTCTAGTTTTGACCGGCATAGTAGCTATGAGACACAAAAGCTCTAAGTGACCAAAGCCTATATTTAGTAAAATCTCATGATTGCTTTAAAACAATGGGCAAAGAGCCCTGGCTGGTTTGGCTCAGCGATTCGAGCATCGGGCCACGGACCAATGAGTTGTGGGTTCAGTTCCAGTCAAGGGCATGTACCTTGGTTGTGGTTTGTTCCTGGCCCTAGTCAGGTCATGCGGGAGGCAACCAGTCAATGTGTTTCTTCTCACATTAGTGTTTCTCTCTCTCCCTTCTTTCCACTCTATCTGATGATAAATGAAAAAATATCCTTAGGTGAGGATTAAAAAAAAAAAAAGGGCAAAGAAAAAATATTGAAAGGAAGAAAACTGAAATGGTTACAGTGATTTTCTCTGTGTTGATGGAATGCAGTTTATTGTGTTTTGCCCAAATTATCCACAATAAACATGATTTACTGTTATAATGAAAAAAGGAAAGATTAATGAAATTAATACACTTAGACATGCCTAGAAAGGATGACACAAATTGGAACTGTAGTTGCCACCCTGGCCGGTTTGGCTCAGCAGTCAGAGCATCAGCCCACAGACCAGAGAGACCTGGGTTTGGTTCCTACTGAGGGCACGTACCTTGGATGCAGTTTGTCCCCAGCCCCAGTTGGGATTGTGTGGGTGGCAACCAGTCAATGTGTCTCTCTCACGGCGATCTTTCTCTCTCTCTTCCTCCCTCTCTCCTTCCTGCTCTATCTGAAGATAAATGCAAAAATGTCCTCAGGCGAGGATAATGTAAAAAAAGAAAGAAAGAAACTGTCATTGCCTTAGAAGAGTAGAACCTCCTTTTCTTGTGCCAACTCGCCTCCTGAATGCCAACTTCATTCTTTTCTACTTCAAGAGCACTTTACATCCCAGGGACATAACATCAGGCAGCCAGAACCCGCAGGCAAGAAGTTTGCCTCTGGCAAATCTGGAAAATCCCAGAGGGTTCTGACCAGTGCAGCTCGATTCGCTGGGCCATCCCTCTGCAAAACAAGGTGGTGGAGGGAGGTAGAGTTACATGACCAGGCTGCCCCAGCGACCTGGTTGGATGATGGGAAAGGACCATTTCTCCCCAGTGAAGGGTGTTATGTTAATAGGAGAAAGGGGCAGAGGGAAAATGCTGGGCAAATAATTGCAAAGTACTGTACCAATCTTTTTTTTTTTTTTTTGAGAGAGAGAGAGAAACATCAATTTATTGTTCCATTCATTTACGCATTCAATTGGTTGATTCTTGTATGTGACCTGACTGGAAATTAAACCTGCAACCTTGGTGTATCAGGGTGACTCTCTAACCAACTGAGCTATCCAGCTAGGGCTGGCTCAAATACATTTTTGTAAAAATTCTCTACAGGTTTGGACATCTCATATCTGTTCTGCATTTGTTACTTTCTTCAGTCTTTTATTTTTTTAATATTTTTTCTTTATTGATTTTAGAGAGACAGAAAGGGAGAGGGAGAGACAGATAGGAACATCAATGAGAGAGAACATCGATTGGCCAACTCCTGCATTCCCCCCACTGGGGATTGGGCCCACAACCTGGGCATGTGCCCTGACCAGGAATCAAACTGGCGACCTCTTGGTGCATGGGTCCACGCTCAAACACTGAGCCACACTGGCCAGGCACTTTCTTTAGTCTTGCAAATGCCCAAGTGGATTTCAGTGGAGGCCATGGGCAGCAGAGCTCTGCTTCCTGAGGGAACAATGACATCAACTCCCAGGAGAAGGGAACACATCTGGAAGGTTTCTCCATTCTGGTCCGAAACCAGCATCCTCTGAGATTCTAGGACACCAGAGAGATCCTAAAGACCCATGGGATATAAGAAAGAGCTGGGCTTACCTACTAACAGGCCTTTTGGAGAAACCCGGCCCTTGCTAAGGAGCTACCTTGACAGAGAAATTTGAGGGTTGGGCCCAAGGAGCCAGCTCTGAACCAAGGAGCCAAGAGAACAAGAGAAGCAGCCTCCCCATTGGACCCGCTGCGTCCCTGTGCTGAGTGCAGCCGGGGTGGCTCTTTGGTTGGAGAGTGTTCTGTCACTGGGCCCTGGGACACACGTCTAAGCACTGGCTGAAGGACATTGTTACACATGGTGAGACGTACTGATAATCTGGTCATCCTGAGTTGAATTACTTCTAGATTTCTCCAGATGTGGAAAATTGACCACAGGAAGGTGAAAGGAGATACTACTTCTGAGTGGGAAGCTATAGGCCACTTGGTGTGGGGCTGGTTCAGTTCAGCTCAAGGACTCCTGGGGCATAATCTTCATACCCAATTAGATTTATAAAAATTCCATAGCATAGATCTGGATATATCTCTGTCTCTCTATGCTCTCAAGCTCTCGCTCTCTCTCTCTCTCTCTCTCTCTCTCTCTCACACACACACACACACACACACACACACACACACACACACAGGGTATCCTTGCCTCCCCACCCCTGCAACAGTCTCTGAATCTGGATCCCTTGGCGGGGGGGGGGGGGGGGGGAACATGAACTGTCAAGAAGCTGATCTTGACCTAGAAACTGGCCAGGTTCATACACAGGGGTTGAACCTTACCATTAAATCTGGAAAATTAATGGTTTTAGAGAAGGTACAATCCATCTGATATCCTCAAACTGAGCCAAAACTAAAATGGAAAATATTGTGCACAGAAATATTCTTAATCAGACGGAGTTATGAACATCATTAAAAGACAAATACTGCCCTGGCCTGTTTGGCTCATTGGTTGGAGTGTTGGCCTGAGGATTGAAGGGTTTCAAGTTCGATCTGCAGCTCTGGTCAGGGTCATGCAGGAGGCAACCAATCAACATTGTCTCGCTCACATCAATGTTTCGCTCACTCTCCTCCCTCCCTTCCACTCTATCTAAAAATCAATGGAAAAATATCCTTGGGTGAGGATTAACCTTTCACAGAACTGCAAAATTAGAGAGAGAGAAAAGAAACTCTTGGGGCCAGATGTGTTTCAGAATTAAGAAAATTTTCAAATTTAGAAATGTACAAAAACTATATCATTACCCCAACAAGCTGAGATAGAACCTAGTGTTATGATCACACATTCATATGTCTGTGTTCCTTAAGCGGGATAAAGACTTCTGGGATTTCAGAAATGTGCTCAAGGGTTGAGGACCTGTATCCAAACACTGATTCCAAAAATTATTCACTTTCCATTTCAAATATATTTTAATGAAAAAAAAATTTTTTCTTTATTGATTTTAGAGAGAGAGGGAGAGAGAGACAGAAACATTGATGAGAGAGAACATTGATTGGCTGCCTCCTGCATGCCCTCCACTGGGGATTTGGCCTACAACCTGGGCATGTGTCCTGACCGGAAATCGAACCAGCAATCTCTTGGTACATGGGTCGATGCTCAACCAATGAGCCACACCAGATGGGCCAAATATAAGTATTTTTAGCAGTTTATACCTGTTTTTAACAATCCACTATTTATTGTTATCTGATTCTGCACCTTCAAGGCCTAGCCAACCATGAGAATGCCCTGATCTCGGTCTTCGCTGCTGCAGTTTGGATCATAAGAAATGCCTGGGAAAGTGAAATTCAGTGTTGAGGTGAGGACCTCCGAGTGACATGAGACAGTAACCCAGCAGATCAACCACAGTAAGGGAGGCATCTCAAAATTCAGCTAAATGACATAAAACCAAGTCAGACTTGAAAACAAGCTCTTTTTTATCTAGGGTAGAGATTCAGACCCTCGTTGAATACTAGCAGAAAGAGCAGTCTCTTCTACAATGTGCCAAGAGGCTAAAGACACTTCTGGAAGCCTTGTCATTCTACTTTTAGAATGTCAGTCTAAGGAAATAGCACAGAACACAAAATTACTTGAGCCAAAGGGTCTTTAGAGTTTTAATTACAAAAGTTAAATATTTTGGAAAAATTTAAAGGTCTAACAATTGGAAAAAGGTAAAGTATATTAAGCTATATCAAATGAATTATGTAGCCATTTAAATATATTTATTAAGTGCGTAAAATCATGGGGATATGATTCAAGTAATGTCAAATGGAAACATAAGGGAAAGATATTACATGTGCACAATGAACAACAATGCTAAATCCACACAACCAGAAATTATACAAAACAGAGAGTGAATCATGCTGTATGTCATGGTGGTTTCCCAATTTTTCTGCCTAAATTTCTACATAGACGATGCTTACCATCTTCATAGAACTGGAAGCTATAGTGGCTTGCATCTATAGCAACAGAGATGGGCCCCACAGTTGCCACTGCCTTTATAAGGGACCTCTCCTGCCACTGGATGTCCACGAAGCCAGTGTCATTGGCAATAGAATCCTTGGGCTAACTTTGCAGGAACCAAACTTTAAAAGGTAAAGGAGGCCTGGCCAGCGTGGCTCAGTGGATTGAGCTTTGTCCCATGGATTGAGCGTCATCCCATGGACTGAGAGGTCCTGGTTTGATTCCCGGTCAGGGCACATGCTTGGGTTTTGGGCACATCACATTGATGTGTCTACGTCCTTTCTTCTCTCTCTCTCAAAAAAAAAAAAAAAAAAAAAATGTATTAAAAATAAAATAAAGGTAAAAGGGAAGAGATTTGATTACTACCTCCTAGAAAATGTGAGTTTAAGACAATTTGCAGCTTAATTATTTCCAAATTAAGTTTGTGAAATACTACTGGTTGTTTTGAAAAGGAAAAACTAGCTGGTGTCTACGCAATGAGACACTCTCAGTCTATCTATCCCTAAGAAATTTTTCACTCTGGAGACTAGTGTACTAAATACAGAATGGTATATATCTCCATGTAACACAGAAATAAGAACAGCTATATAGTAACCAAACAGAGAACTATTCAAGCCTGATATATCTTAATGAAAGTTCTGACAGTTTATGTACATAGATTCTACAATCTGAACTGTGAATTCTAAACATGGGCATCTGTTTTCTCTAAGGTGTTCAACTTTCAAAAGGAGTGATACAAAGATAAGGACCTTTGTTTACCTTTGCATATATGGATAGGATTCCTGAGTCCAGGCCTCCATTGGACTGAACATACTGGAAGGCATTATCCATTAGGCCACCATGGGAGCCCTCATTGCCTTGAGACTGGGAGCAGTCCACAAGGTTCTGCTCACTCAGTAAAATAAGTCTGCCAGTTTTCCGGAACATATGTCCTTCAAGGGCACTAGTTACACTGAAAGCCCAACAAGGACCACAGTGACCCTAAAAATACAATTTAAAAGCTCTCAGTCTAGCCTGGCCAATGTGGCTCCCTGGTTGAGTGTCAATTCATGCACCAAGAGGTCACTGGTTTGAGCCACACTGGCCGGGCAGAATGGGTTTTTCTTTAATCAGAACAAAGCAAGCACGAGACTTCCGGTCAAGATGGCGGCGTAGGTAAACGCGGTACCGTGTCCTCCCACAACCACATCAAAGTTACAACTAAACTACAGAACAACCATCATTCAAAACCGCCTGAAATCAAGCTGAATGGAAGTCCTACAACTACGGAATTAAAGAAGCAGCCACATCGAGACTGGTAGGAGGGGCGGAGGTGGACGGGCTGGTCCCACACCCACGTGTGGCGGATAAAAATCAGGAGGACACCTTGGCTGGGAAGGTCCTTCCTGAGAACTGAGGGGTCCCCGTCCCACACCAGGTGCCCTGCTCAGGGTTCCAGTGTTCTCTTCTATGGGAAGAGAAGTCCCCATAACTTCTGGCTGGAAAAACCAGTAGGAACTGAGGCTCAGGGAGGCTGAGGCCACTGGAGCCCCAGGCAGCTCCTCTTAAAAAGCCCGCGCATGGACTTAGACTCACTCCCTCTAAGCTTGGAGGGGAGGCAGCTCAAGGGGCGCTGGAAACATACAGGGAAGAACTGAGCTGTTTGGCACTGGAGCGAGGGCTGGAGAGGGGACTTTCTCCGGGACAAATGCTGTCAGAGGCCTTTGTTCCTTTGGTGAGCCCTTCCCTGGGGTGGCAGACAGCCACCATATCTGGGACTCCAGCAACCTGGCTCACACTGGTAGCCCCGCTCTGGTGATTCCCTGAGGCCCCACCCCACCCAACTTTCAGGCCCACCCAAGCTGTTGTCAGTTGCTTAACCATAGGATTGGCCTGTCTTGGATCCTGTTTCAGGTTTTCCTAAATTCTTTCAAACAAGCAACATCTGCTCTCAAACATCCCCATACCTCTCATTAAGTAATACACAGAAACAAACACAAGAGGCAGCCAAAATGAGGAGACAAAGAAACAGGTCCCAAATGAAAGAACAAAAAAAATCTCCAGGAAAAGAACTAAGTGAAATGGAGATAAGCTAACAGATGCTGAGTTCAAAATACTGCTTATAAGGATGCTCAATGAACAGTGAGAACCTCAGTGAACTTAGTGAGGGCCTCAAGAGCATAAAAAAGGACCAGTCAGAAATGAAGGATGCACAGTTAGAAATGAAGGAGGTACTAACTGAAATAAAGAATAATTTACACAGATTCAATAGTAGAGTAGGTAAAGCCAGGAAGCAAACCATTGATTTGGAATATAAGGAAGCAAAAAACACCCAATCAGAACAGCAAAAAGAAAAAAGAATCCAAAAAAATGAGGATAGTGTAAGGAGCCTCTGGGACAACTTCAAGCGTGCCAACATTCGCATCTTGGGGGTGCCAGAAGGAGAAGAGAGAGAGCAAGAAATTGAAAACCTATTTGAAACAATAATGGCAGAAAACTTTCCTAACTTGGTGAAGGAAACAGACGCACACATCCAGGAAGCACAGAGAGTCCCAAAGAAGATGAACCCCAAGAGGCCCACACCAAGACACATCATGATCAAAATGCAAAAGGTTCAAGACAAAGAGAGAATCTTAAAAGCAGCAAGAGAAAGGCAGCTAGTTACCTACAAGGGAGTTCCCATTAGGCTGTCAGCTGATTTCTCTAAAGAAACTTTGCAAGCCAGAAGGGAGTGGCAAGAAATATTCAGAGTGATGAAAAGCAAGAACCTACAACCAAAATTACTCTATCCTGCAAAGCTGTCATTTAGAATCGATGGCCATATAAAGACTTTCCCAGACAAGAAAAAGTTAAAGGAGTTCGTCACCACCAAACCATTATTATATGAAATGTTGAAGGGTCTTCTTGAAGAAAAAGATAAAATATATGAACAAACAAAATGGCAATGAATACATATCTATCGACAATGGAATCTACAAACAAAATGAACAGCAGAACAGAAACATTCTCATAGATACAGAGAACATTTTGTTGGTTGCCAGATGGGAGGGGGGTTGGGGGAATGGGTGAAAAAGGTGAAGGGATTAAGAACAAATTGGTTGCTAGATTGACAAACCTCAAAGAGAAGGGGGTTGGGGGATGGGAAGAAATAAACCAAAGAATTTATATGCATAACCAATGGACACAGACAACAGTGTGGGAAAAGGCAGGAGGGGGGCGGGAGTGGGGAAGAGAGGGTCAATGGGGGGAAAATGTGGAACATCTATAATACATTCAACAATAAAGATAAAAAAGAAAAGAAAAAAACAATATAAATAAGAAAGAAAAAGAACAAAGCAAGCACGATTAACATTGCAAAGGATGATATATATATATATACACATACATACATACACACATACACATATATACATGTATATATATATTTAGAAATTTTTAAAATATGTTTTTATTGAATTTTTAGAGTGAGATAGAAACATTGATGAGAAACATCAGCTGCCTCCTGCATGCCCCTATTGGGTATCAAGCCTGTGACACTGGCATATGACCTGACCAGGAATCGAACCAGGACCGCTCAGTTCATGGGACAACACTCAATCCACTGAGCAACACTGGCCAGGCTGATTAATATTTCTTATAACTATGGCTAATACCCCACTATGATTAGTTCTCTATTCTATTATTCTCTCCCTCCCCTTTCAGATTCATGTTTCAAAAACCTAGGGAAAATAAATGAGTATTTGATTAAGCCAATCCTTTTAAAAAGCCATCCTACTTTTTTGAGACTTTACAGCCACCATGGTGGAGTAAAAACAATGAATTTATCCTCCCAAGTATTTTCACAAAGACTGTGGAGGGAGGCTAAGCATGTGGGTGGAGAAAAAGTTCAGAGACCCCATTCCTGCACAGGCACAGGGACAGGTTCTCCCCAGACTCAGAGGCGGGCCGTGCAACACCGGCGCTGCAGACAGGGACCAGTTTGGGGAGTGCCGCCTGCTCCCTACCCTCCGCACATGCCCACCGCTTCCACAGGGAGCCTGCAGCCCAGGGGGTGGAGGTCAGGCTGCCCTGTCCTCCAGGCCAGGGCCGTGCCTCCTGGAACTCCCAAGCCCTCCACCAGCAAGGCTGGTTCCCGGGGGTCCCAGCAACGTCAGGTCCCAGTCCAGGGTGTCCACCTGTAGCTGGCCCAGCAGCGCAAGTGCAGTCAGCACAGGCAGGCCCAGGGTTCTTCCAGGCGGAGCTGTGAGTCTTCCCTCACCTAACCCCCTCCTCCCACCCCAAGCCGTGGGTTTGGCAATTCGGCCCGTCCGGCCCCGCCCCTACATGGCCTGTAAGTGTCGCGATTGGCTGATCTGGCTTATGGGCGGGGCCTTCGACCGCCGGGCCTCCAGGCGCCTGCTTAGGTTCATTCCGAACCGGTCCCAGGCAGAGGTGAGGGCTTGAGAGGCTGGGGTGGGGGGGGACGAGCTGAGGAGTTCAGCGCCTCCGTGGGATCCTGACCAACAGTAACCTCCATTCATGAGCTCAGCAAGTGGTTCACGAAAAGAAGCTTGTAGGGAGCTCCCAGTGGATTTTCACCTTGACCTTGCCTGTCCTTTACTCCTAGAGTTTTAGGTTAAAATCTCCCCGAGGGCTGAGGGCGGTGTAATCTGGCCCAGTGGCTCCTGTTTATTATACAGTAAAGGTCGGACGGGCTGGAAGAATGCAGAGCCCACAAGCAGATGCGTTATCGTTGTTTCAGGATGGGGGCAGCTGGGTTTGGGGAGAATTTGGAATGGTATGGCAATACCCAAAACACTGGCCTACAGGAAGGCTGTAGGTGAGTTCTCCAGTGCAGGCACAGCTCCTTTCCTGCCTTCCCCAGTCAGGATTCTTCTTCCCTCGCAAGCCTTTCTCAAAACCGACCAAAGGAGTTATTCATTCACAGAAGAATTTGGTTTAACAAAAGGAGGAGGAAGGACTGAAAGAAAAAACTGCTTTTACCTCCCCACTCTGGGGTATGGATCGCTGTCTTCCTCAACATGCTTTTCTTGAGATGCTGCAAGTGGCTAACTGTGTGGTCAGGCAGCATGGGTTCAAATACCAGGTATGCCCCTAACTGCCTGGGTAAAAGGGGCAATAATAGCATCTGCCTCCCTGGCTTGGTGGAGGGGAATAAGAGAATTCACTGAAGTGCTTCCATAGTCCTGTCCTGTGTAGGCAATCCGTCCAGACTGCTGCGTTATTTTTACTTTATTTTATTTTATTTTTAAAATATGTTTTTATTGATTTTTTTTTAGGGAGAAAGAGAAACATTGATCAGCTGCCTCCTGCACGCCCCCTACTGGGGATCAAGCCCAAAATCGGGGCATGTGCCCTGTTGGGGAATGGAATGGGGACCTCTCAGTCCATGGGAGGATGCTCAATCCTCTGAACCACACCAGCCCAGCTACTGCATTATTTTTAACCAGAGGTAACATTTCATATAAAGGGTTAATTTGTACTTATAAAGAACTTAGGCATGAAAAGAGTTTTAACTTACAAACCTCTTGTTAAGTTTCTGTGTATCTTAGAGAAAAATTGTCCAAACTCTTCTCAACTCATCAGGGAATCAAAGTTGTACTGGCTGAGAGTTATGAGCACAGTTACCCCAGTAATCTCCATCAAATATCTCCCCGAGGAGACTGCAGGCACCCTGGAACTCACTGGGGCAGGAACAATACACCATCAGCATTCCGGAAAACCTCAAACCATAAAAGAAAGTTCAGGTCAAGGTAAGCTGGAGTCTCTCCACACCTGGCTCAGCTAAAAGGGACCCTGTGTTTGCAATCAGTCTTGTTAGAAAGAAATCAGTGGGATTTGGAAGGGAAAAAATTACTTAGTAGGACTGCAGTGGACTTAGGAGTCCTACAAAACACAGTTCTTAGAGGTTTCTAAATCCATTACTGCCTGATCCCTCCTAAGAAAACAAGTATTCTTTGGTGTGCACAGTCAGTTAACTGACAAATTTATTTAATGCAGCAAATGAGCACAAGATTCTTTGGCTATGGAATGGCCTTCATGTAGGTGGAGAGTAATCTGGGGGAGAATATATCAGTCATGACTGATATATATGGTGTTAGGAGCACAACTCAAACTGGCTTAAGAGAAATAATAATAATAAAAAATAATAAATAATTGGTTCATAGAACTTGAAAAACAGGGGTGGCTATGGCCACAGGCTTAATTGGATCTAGTGATTCATATTCAGACCACCTCCCTATCATTTCCCCTCTCATCTTACCTTCCATTTGCAATGGCATCATTCTTCTGGGCCACTTCATGTGCCAGGGTATATGGCCCCCAGCAGTTCTGGGGTAACAGTTAATAATCTGTGATCTTACATATTGGTCTCCCAGTATTTCCTAGTCTAAAAATATTGGGAGTTCTCTAGTCACTTAAATGAAGAACCTTATTTTGGCACAGTCTCCCTTTCAGGGTTACGCTAGCACAGTGTGGTTACCCTGCGCGGCTATGTAGGAGCAATGTAGAGTTACTTCTTGAAAACAAAAACTAAGGTTCCACTGGCTGCCTTTATAGAAAGTTGTTAAACATCATGACCATAAGAAGAATTGAAAACCCAAGTTGTTTTTTCACTCAGCCAGCCAATTATGACTAAGGATTATATAATTATAGCTGATAAATATTTTTTTAAAATTAACTAATTTATTTTTGTTACAGATGTTTTTCCTTTTTCCCCCACTGATTCCCCCCTCGCCTTCCCTCCCCACCCTGTCCCCAGCTTTATTGTCCATGTCCATTGTTCATTCATACATGCATATAAGTTCTGTGGTTTATCTCTCCTCCGCACCCCCTCTTCTGGGGATTGTCAGTCTGTACCCCACTTCCACGTCTCTGGGACTACCCCATTCCTCAGACTGTTATGTTAATTATATTCCACAAATAAGTGAGATCATATGATACTTGTCTTTCTCTGTTTGGCTTGTTTCACTTAGGATAATACTTTCCAGGTCCCTCCATGTCGTCTCAAAAGATAAGAGATCTTTCTTTCTTACAGTTGCATAGTACTCCATTGTGTATATGTACCACAGCTTTTTTATCCATTCATCTACTGATGGACATTTGGGCTGTTTCCAGATCTTAGCTATTGTAAATAGTGCTGCTACGAACATGGGGGTACACATATTCTTTCTGATTGGTGTTTCAGGCTTCTTAGGGTATATTCCTAGAAGTGGGATCACAGAGTCAAATGGCAGATCAATTTTTAATTTTTTGAGGTAACACCATATTGTTTTTCATAGTGGCTGCACCAGTCTGAATTCCCACCAGCAGTGTATTAGAGTCCCCTTTTCTCCACACCCTCGCCAACACTTGTTGTTTGATGATTCGTTGATGGTGGCCATTCTGACAGGTGTGAGGTGATACCTCATAGTTGTTTTAATTTGCATCTCTCTGATGATTAGTGATGTTGAACATTTCTTCATATGTCTCTTGGCCATTTGTATGTCCTGTTTGGAGAGGTGTCTATTTAGTTCTTCTGCCCATGTTTTAAATGGGCTCTTTGCCTTCCTTTTGTTGAGTTGTATGGGCACTCTATATATTTTGGAAATTAACCCCTTATCTGATGTATCGTTGGCAATTATGCTCTCTCATACAGTGGGTTGCCTTTCCATTTGGTGGTTGTTTCTTTTGCAGTGCAGAAGCTTTTGAGTTTGATGTAGTCCCATGTGTTCATTTTCTCCTTTGTTTCTGTTGCCTTAGGTGATGTATCAGTGAAAATTCTGCTTCATATGATGTCTGAAATTTTGTTGCCTACATTTTCTTCTAGGATTTTTATGGATTCATGAGTCACATTTAAGTCTTTTATCCATTTTGAGTTTCTTCTTGTGTATGGTGTAAGTTGATGGTCTAGTTTCATTTTTCTGCATGTAGCTGTCCAATTTTCCCAACACCATTTATTAAACAGGCTGTCTTTACTCCACTGTATGCTCTTTCCATCTTTGTCAAATATTAATTGAGCATAATGTCTTGGGTCCATTTCTGGGTTCTCTATTCTGTTCCATTGATCTATCGGCCTGTTCTTGTGCCAGTACCAGACTGTTTTGATTACAGTGGCTTTGTAGTATAACCTGAAATCTGGTAATGTGATGCCTCCAACTTTGTTCTTCTTTTTCAAGATTGCTGTGGCTATTCGAGGTCTTTTTTGGTTCTATATGAACTTCTGAAGTATTTGTTCTAGTTCTGTGAAGTATGTCATTAGTATTTTGATGGGGATTGCATAGAATCTATAAATTGCTTTGGGTAGTATGTACATTTTAATGATGTTAATCCTTTCAATCCATGAACAAAGTATGTGCTTCCACTTTTTTATATCTTCCTCTATTTCTTTTTTCAATGACCTATAGTTTTCTGTGAATAGGTACTTTATTTCTTTGGTTAAGTTTATTCCTAGGTATCTTAAATTTTTTTGCTGCGATGATAAATGGGATTTTTTTTTTTTTTTTTTTTAGTTTCTCTTTCTGTGAGTTAATCATTGGTGTATAAGAATGCCGTCAATTTCTTGACATTAATTTTGTATCCTGTTACTTTGCCAAATTCATTTATTAAGTCTAGTAGATTTTTGATGGAGTCTTTGAGGTTTTCTACATATAGTATCATGTCATCAGCGAATAATGACAGTTTCACTTCCTCCTTTCCAATTTGGATCCCTTTTATTTTTTCTTCCTGTCTGATTGCTGGGACTAAGACCTCCAATACTATGTTAAATAAGAGTGGCAAAAGTGGGCATCCTTGCCTTGTTCCTGTTCTTAAGGGAAATGCT